ATTATGTTATTATTTTGAGGTTCTTTTTTAGATGCAACAGGAAGCTGTCAACATGTCGGCAGTTGTTTGAGAGAAAGTCTTGGAGGCGGGGTTTCGTTTTCCCTCCATTCAACATCCATCATCATCATAGAGTCTCCACAACATATACATCCTGGTTAACCGTTTTGAATATCTTTGTATTTCCAATTCTTGTTTTCTGCTGTTAATCTTGCCTTAAAGCCATGAAATAGTTGGAAATATAAGCGAATTGCCTAGGCTGGTTAGTATTAGTTAGTCAAGTTCTTAGAATTCATGACAGATGTTCTGTGTTGGTTAACCCTTCGCTGAATGGTCTGATGAATTTAGAGTTTATATGCAATACAACATCACGGAGATAACTAGTTTCACTCACCGCCGTGACCAAATTGACGTCATAAGTTTGTGGGGGAATAATCCCACGGGAAGCATGTATGTAGTTGTTATACTATATGCGTGTCAAGCACAGCAACAAGGTAGTACGGAAAGGCCGAAACCGTCATGCATGGATTTACACAGTAATCGAAATCGTCAAAAACAGACAAGAAACTTTGATACTTTCAGGTGTGGCGGGGCGTGTGCATTGCATCTTGTTTCCAACCAGGGAGTCCTTCTTCGTCCTCCTGTTCCCAACCCCAACCCCAACCCCAACCACCACCAACTACCATGAAACCTACCCATATACAAATGCAAACTAATGGGTCCCTACGTACAGATACAGCACTCCAAACTAAACTGTACGTCTGTAACCTGCACGGCACGCAACTACCGTCCGTTACCGCGATACGCTTAGGTTGCCTATTTGGGTAGTCCTAAGCGTAGCACTATCAGCCCTCTTCAGGTACGCGAACGCGGCTTGGCTTTTTTCAGCTTTGAAGTGACATGGTACATGGAGTATTATCGAGTGGCATCTTGCTTTTCTTACTTTCTCTGCTACAGAATCATGTTGTTTCAAGCAAGATACAGTGATTCTCCTGGTCTAATGTAGGTTGGCGACACCACTCGACTCACCATCAACTCACCCAACTGCACCCTTGTAGCATCAAAGCCATGTGGATTTACCATGCTCATGACTTGTGACACCGCCTCTAATGTCATCCAACTCACCAGTCCAGTCACTCCAGTTTGCACACACCCACTCACTTATGCATCTCATCCTACAACACCCTAAACAGATAGATAGATACGATACAGCACATCACCGTTACATCCCACCTCCATCTGATCCCCTGTAGATCATTTCCTGTGCCCCCACAAACTCAACCTCAATCTTTTTCTCATCGCCTAGGGCGTCTTCGTTATATATTCCACAACTTATTTTCTCACTCATCCGAGTGACGCTTTGACAGCAGCAACCAACTTCAGTTTTGCTAATATGACACATCTCATATTTATGTTCTAGCGGTGTCGTTTCTCTACTGATATCATGCCATTATACTCGATCAAGTGGTTATACCCCAGTTACTAAGCCTTAGCTGGACCTCAAGTCCTGCTCCTCCGGGACCCCGTTTCAGGAACATTCATTATTGCCTTAGCGTGCCATATAGTCCTAGTCTTTCTGTCTAAGCGATAGTTTAGTTGCATTTCCGTCCCCCGGTTATGGTATGTGAAAGTGACGGAAAACGGGTACTGTAGTCTTATAACAAAGTTCAGTGGAGTGGGCGGCTCTGCAAGTTTTGGAACCGGTGGCATGGCGGGCATGTTAGTCAGAGTCTACTAGATAGTTATTTCTCTCTCGATCGTTGCCAAGCATAAAAACCCCATCAGTAATGTCCCAAGAGTTTCCCATGACGCCAGTCTACACTGCTTGGTCTCTGGTGGCGCGGCTCAGGAACGAGAGTTCCGGATACTTAACTGTGGCGGCAGCCAATGTGGGCACTAAAGAGGCTTCTTGGTCTCTGAGAGATAAGAATGACACCGAAGCATGAAACAACAGAAACTAAATTCAATTGCCTCTTTTCAAGAGCCCTAGTGTGCTTGTTTAGTTGGTATCTTCATGCTGCGTGTGGTCATCCATCTTGACTCATCCTACCCTATACTCGAGAAATGACCATCCGTATACCCATATGTTGCTTAATAACAAAGTCCAAGCCATCTGAAACGTTAACGTTGGTAGAGAGAGAATGTGTGTCATAGGCTTGTTCAAGATATCCAAAGATGAAGACTCTGGGGGTTGACCCCGTGTTGAAATATTGGGTGTTATAATAGTTGCTCACTTCTCGACTTACCGAACGGTAACAATGAAACCGGGGCATAGTAAATGCATTACATGTCTAAAATATTATACCAATGTCGAGCCCTATAGACCCCTAGAACTTTCATGCGGAATCTCATGGCTCCCACTTGTATGTCTAGAACTCGCCGTTTCATCACAAATAACACCTCCCTCGTCAGGGCATGTCCAAGGCTCAGCATCCCCAAGTCTTTGCGCAGTTAATCCTGAGTTCCCAGGGTCACGCATACCCGTCTCCATCTGCCTCCTGTACGAAACCTTGCGTAGCCTCTCAGCTTCAACAGGGGTGAGTCGCAGATACACCTCGGCGGCTATAACATGGACGAGAAGAGCAAGCCAGGCACTAGCTCCAAAAGCGCTGTTTAGTCTTGCAGCGATCGCGTCCGGACGTTCGCCAGGGATCCCTTCGGTAATGACCCGCTGGTCGGGGGTTTCGCCCGTGTAGAAACCCACACAGCCTGGGTATAAGGTCTCAACGGCGGGCTTGTTGTGGTAGAACATGGAGTCCAGGACTGCGCAAGGCGTCACGGAGGAATAAGGACCTGTATGGCTTGTGATTTGTGCCATTATAGCTGAGATGGCTCTCATAGTGATAATATGGCCAGTCTTTAGATGTGTTAGTCACCCCCTTTTCAGGATAACATTTACGCTCAAACACTCACAATGATCCAGCCTCGCAACATCCATGCGCGATGCTGCTCCAGCTGAAGTCTTTTGATGTTGGCATAAGCCAAGACCATGCAAACAACAAACATGATGCTCGCAGCGCCAGTAACAGTCTGCATCTCCAAAGTTCCACCAAAGGCATGCCGTGTGATCATAAACACCCCAATGATGCCGACAACCGAGAGAAGAAGAACGACATAGCCGTTGATCCGATGGACTAGGAGAGCTCGATGCTGGATAGCAGGGATGAACTGGAAGACGACTAACACGGCAGCGGGAAGGATTCCAGCTAGGTGCATGATGATACCCGCCTTGCCGATCCCATGTCGGTAGTAGTAGCACTCGCCAGGAACCGCTCCCCTTGAGCCGTATATCCGACCAGTGGGTGGTTCACTAGGACACAAATGGCCATTAAAGTTGAGATATATAGAACGAGAGAGTGTAAAGGCTAGGAAAGCTCCGCCAAAGAAGAACCAAAGAATGCAGTTGTAGCTTTTGGTGAAGCCTACAGCACGAGATATTCGCTGTAGACGCGTTGGAGAAGGCGAGGCTTGAGTAATGTCGGTAGTCATGTTGTTTATAGATATATATGGATAAGAATGACTGGCAGTTATTGCATTCCATATGTTATACACCACCGCTGCTATTTATGATCAGTCTGCCAGAGCAATTGTATGTCTATTTTAACCTCGCGAGTATATTCACTCATAAACTTCCACCGTAAACAGGCTGAATAGATTCCCAATCTGCAGCATTTCAGTCAATCCAGATAGATCGGCAACGCCATTGTGTGATGAGTTAGTGATAGTTATTCACACAGATGCACCACAATAGCGAGCCATCAAGCCACTGACACAAATGCAGATATGTATCGAAGCTCCGAAATGTTTGATTGGGCGGCTATGAACAAGACTCGGCTTCCGTGTTGGTTCTATCGTGAAGCTTGTGCACCTTCGGTTGTGCAGCGAAACCAACAGGATATGATTGCTTGGCAAGACAAGTAGTAGAAGTGCTTGATGAACAAGATAACTTGCCCCAAAAGCCTGTGTGGTTCGTTACCAGCAAAGAAGAGTGGTGCAGCAAGGCTGAACAGCGTCTCAGTATCGGATGAAAACATAGGTCAATTATGAATCACTAGCAACACAGATAGAAATTCATTGGGACTAATCAGAAGATATTGTACCAAAATAGACGACTTAAGACCAAATCGGACGAAATATAGCGAGTGAGGTGTAGCGATCAAGCCGTTTATAGATGCACAGGTTTTGACATCAGCGAATTGCAACACCAATAGGCTGATATGTATGGATCATATTCAATGACAGAGCAGAGTATAAGTACAATTAGGTCAATGCCTTGGTACAAACGGTAGGCGTCCCAGAGTTTCACAGTTCCACTATCTGAAAATGACCATGACCGCAGTCATTACTGCAAGCGAGGTTTACACGAAAGCAGCTCATGATAGAACATCGAGATTTGCCAATGGAGTGTATATATTGTGTCTATATTTGACATCATTGAGTGTCTACTGCTTCAGTCTATTCAAGCTGCTGGTAACGCACGCACTGTCATATCGAGATTAATAGTTGCCTTGACACGTAGGACAGAACCGAGGTCACTCATTGAGTAGTTGCAATTGCTGCGAAGCAGACTTCCTCCACCACTCTGGATGATTCGATATCGCAATTAGACCGATGGGATAGGTGTGCAAGAAGCTCCTATCGTAGCAAAAGCCGCATCGTCAGGATCATCTTTGATCTGCTTTGTAGCTGAGCACCCAGCCTTGGTATACATCGACAAATTTGGCCGCGTAACCCAGCATTGGATCAGGAATCGAACAGTTTGGAACAGAAAGTTACAAACTCTTTCGGTGGCATCGAGCACCATATGCGTAAAGCGCGGGCTTTGCGGACCTGGCGGCGGACACAGATGCTATCGGGGGGACGCCGATGTGCTGTTCTCGGAACTCAATGCCATGAAATATATTCGTTTGAGCATAAAGCCATCCCAATAGCGCTGCCATAGGCTCGTATATGTGAAGTATGCCATGGAAGAGGGCCGGGATATCGCTTCATTTCCGTCGCCATTATTGAAACACCTCATCAGCAAGAAACTGATCAACACGTCGCTTCCGACCCTGAGAGCCTGTCTCCGAAAGACTTATCTCCTTAGGAACGTCATTGGAAGTTCGTTCTGGTAGCGCATGGACACGACCACCGACTCTCGCCAGCAAGAAGCGCATCTTCTCAAGTTCCTTTTCAACAGGGCCATTGCGAGTAAGGAGGTTTTCCTGGATACCAGCGCCATTATCTGTCGTCTGAAGAGGCTCGACGATGGTTTTCAGATGATTTAAGCGTGCCACTTGCGTTCTTAATCGCTTGCGCTGGTCGCTGAGCTCAGTTAGTCGAGCAACAGCATCTGCATAGCGCTTGACTTCCACGGGGTGGTCATTGACATCCTTTTCTATATGCCAAGAAACTTGTAATGATTCAATAGCTTCACTATCGGCTGGATAAGGTCAGTCGAGGTTTGAAGTTCACATGAGGAAAACTCACTGAGATCAAGTTCTCTGCCAATACCGCCTTTAGCATCAGCTGGGCCTCCTACTTTACGCTCAGCTTCCTGGGTGAAGACGTTATCGATCTGCTCAGCGATATTCCGACTAGCCTGCGGGGAATAGACGCGGCGACAATGCTGCTGAATAGTGTGATTCAGGTTGAAAAGGACATCTTGGACAACGCGCTCAGTGAGAGGCTCATCGGACGCGTCGTTGGTGGCTTGCCATGAGCGAGATGGAGCAAGAGGTTGGGCGAGAAGTGTTGTTTGGTTGGCAAGGAATGATTGTTTCAGCGCCGGTATTGTCGGTGCAGATGCGCGAGCAGACATTATGTGAGTTCTTTCATTTCTTAACTTGAGAGGCAATTTGTAAATCGTGGGATGGTGTTGGTGTTAATGATGTTTGTTATATCACGTGTGATTGAAGCAGTGAGGCAGGTATGGCACATTTAGAGGGGCATCCGCTAAGATCAGCAAAATCTGGCGAATAAGACACCTAGAGCCCCTGCAGCTTGACAACCTCCATGATAGCTGTAAGAGCATCTTTAACTGCATTGCTTCTGTATACAAAACAAGCACTCTTTTCCTCTCCCTCTTACAAATCTAGACTTGGATTGGAAGGTATCCTAGCCATTAGTTGGATTGCCAAGTACAACATGGAAATCTAATAGCCTATCCTCACGGCAACGCTAGAACATAGCCCCAGTGTAACAATCAGGAATCTCGAGTCTTCAGTCACCCGCCTGTCGTGTTACAAAAGAAAGTCTTTTCATGTCACCAACATAAAAAGATAAGAGGAATGGAACTCTAATCCTGTTATCTGTCCTTTTCGCTCTCGCTTATACAGTATCGTGAGGCGCAAGGCTAATCTCACCAAAAGTTCAGCTCTTGTTCACTAACACTCATCAATCACCAGCTTGAGGCTCAGACACATACCATAGCAGCCCTATAAACCCCTATACTCCATTTTGCACACCCAAATACTTCATCTCGTTGTTTTCAGCTCGTGATAGGCCAAGTGAAGCGACGCGGAGCGGAACGATGCCGCTACTAAACAGGGGAAGCATCGCACTACATCAGCACAAGCGCATAGTCATGTTAGTTGTATGCGAATCCGAAGCGAGGGCGCATGAATATTGAAGCACTAACTTTCAGCCTTCGGGAGAGAGACTATATTTACCAATTACCATATTTGTCCATGTGAGCGGATGTTTCGGGGGTCTTTGTCTCTTCTTGGTACTGTATTATGGATTTCTTAGCGTAAGAATCCGGTTTCATTTTCTATAGTAGCGTCATTGACTTTTTACAAGACTAAAAGCATTAAACCACAACAACTTTTCTCAGGTATTTATTTATAAGTTGACGATCCATAGTAAAAAGCAACCTATGATAGTCAAGAATCTCCAACGGTTTTGATATCACTTTTTGTTTTGTTGGACAACTGACTACTACGAATTATCGGTTTGCTCATATCCTTACCACACTAATTCATCGTCAGTTTGCTTCACTACCAACACTGCAGAGTCATTGTCAAACAAAGTGCACTGTGTTTGCATAAAACCAACAAAACCTGAGTCCTTCCAGCACATGAGTCAAGCCTCCATTTGTACCTTACTTCATGGGAATGTCTCTGATAGACGGCCTTTGTCCTTGTCAATTTGTCCCCTAGCCAGCATACCTGATCAACTCAAACAAACCAAAACTCTCTCAGGAATTTACCTTCAAGCTATACTATAACCTTAATGTCTACCGTTGCGATGGCGCTCAACGGTCCTGGCGTCCACCGTCGTACACGCGAGCATGAAGCAGAAGATGCCTCAAACATTACCAAAAACTTCCTCGCCGAAGCATGGAGATCCTGGCCCAACGAAGCTGCCGTAAGTCATCTCTGGCTACTAAAATGTATAAAAAACTAACATACCTAGTTTGACCGCCTTGAAGAACATCGCGGTCCTCTTCGCCTCACCGTCAAAGGCTCTATGCCCTCCTGGGCTGCTGGTACACTCTACCGTACCGGCCCAGGCCAAAGCCGCGTAGAAGACACATCTCGTGGAACACATTTTACGACACACTGGTTTGATGGCTTCGCGCAGACACATCGTTTTGACATTGTCCCTTCTGAAGATGGCGAGACACAAGTGTGGTACTCGTCAAGAAGGCAGGCAGATGAATGGGTCGCCGATGTAAAGAAGAAAGGATGGCGGTCGGGTATGACTTTTGGCCAAAAGGCCGATCCCTGTGTTGGAATCTTTGCCAAAGTCATGACCGTATTTGAGCCAAAGCTGGGAAACCATAATGTTGCCCTCTTGGCTAACATCCCTGGCTTGTTGGATGACGAGAAGGGGGTGGATGAGAAAGCAAACGGTGCCACTGGCCCTCTCGGACATCGCGTGAACACGAGTAATCTCTTTGTCGCTACAGACTATTCAGGAATGCGTCGAATAGACCCATCCACTCTTGAACCTCTGGGCGAGACCACGCAGAGTCATCTTCATCCTTCTCTTAGCGGTCCCTGTTCATGCGCCCACGCTCAGCGTGATCCAGTCTCGGGAGACATGTTCAACTTCAATCTTGCCTTTGGCCGCGTCCCTACCTATCGAATCTTTCGAGTTAATGCTTCTTCTGGAGAGACTGAGATTCTTGCCACAATCTCTGATCTCAACGTCCCCCCTGCGTACATGCACAGTTTCTTCCTCAGCGAAAACTACGTTATCTTGTGCATACCTGCATCGCAATTTGCATGGAGAGGACTCAAGACGCAATGGGAGGGCAATATCATTGATTCAATGAAACCGTTTGACAAGGGCAGAGATTGCAAGTGGCTCGTCGTTGACCGACGGCATGGAAAGGGGCTTGTGGCAACCTTTTCAACACCAGCTGCATTTTTCTTCCACAGCATCAACGCATTCGAAGAAAAGGTGAAAGACGAACAAGGCAATGAGCGCACACATCTTTTCGTTGATCTCGCCAAATACGAAAACATGGATATCATCAAGGGCTTCTACTACGATGTTATCATGGATCGAAACGACGCCACCAAGAAGTACTGGTTCGAGAACCAACGCTACAAGAACTGCGCACCAACACTTACAAGATATCGCTTCACTTTGCCTTCAAGACCTACGCCTGATATGTCTTTTGCATCCAAAGGAGAACAAACACTCGCCATTCCCAGCCCACACACAGGCGAACTTCCTTCTATACACCCACTACGTGTCGGTAAGCCCTACCGATATGTCTACAGCGCTGCACTACGTGGTCTGACAACCGGGGTAGATGCTCTTGTCAAGACAGATTTAAAGACAGGCGATGCGCTTCTATGGACGGGACCCCAAGGTCACACCCCTGGAGAACCGGTCTTTGTTCCAAGACCGGGAGCAGAGGATGAAGATGATGGAATCGTTTTTAGTTTGGTCGTTGATGGAGGCGCCGAGACAGCGTATATAGTGTGCTTGGATGGCAAGACGATGGAAGAAATGGGAAGGGCAGAAGCTGATTTTGCCATCGGGCAGGGATTCCATGGCATTCATATACCCACTGCTTAGAGGTTTTGATGGATTGATATAGACATGATGCTTCGAGGAGCGAATTGCCCTAGTATTTGCGAAGTATAGAAGATAATAAAATAAGTAGTTTAATCATAAATAGCATGCCACAAGCTACATAACGATCAGTGCAAGTTATAGTACTGTTATGATCATCATTTAAACCCCACAAATGACCATTCCCTTGAACCGAACCGTTGGAACCCAACTCAATTCAATTAACGACTAGCCAACTACCCCGCGAAATGCAACGTAGTGGAGGCTCTCGTTCCTTTTTCTCTTTCGATTTTTGTAGAAAATGGCCTGATGCTGACGCGCTACCAAGCATTCAAACAGATCTGGACCTTGCATGAGTTGCGGCTAGATCGCTTTCCGTGTAAGTGATGTGCATATGGCCGATTGACTGATAAAGACCCTTGTATTTTCAACATCGGTGTTGGTAGTTGCGCATTCGTCGTTGAGACATGATCGTCGTCTCTGGTGAACATACAATTTCCACTGCCAAGAGCGCATACGACGTTTAAATGAGTATGAACTGTACCCAGGTATGGAGGGGATTCAAAGGAGCCGGTTAGTTGGATCAATGCTGACATGTGACGGCTTCAATGTCTTGACAGATTCACAGTGCCTCTGACTGGGAGACTATGGATTGTGCATGTAATCGTGAGAATACTCATGATTATCATGCAATTCAGCATCCTTCAACGAAAAGGCACAATACAGCGCACATGGACCCCATCCATTAAATCTGGTCAGTCATATATGGTCAACACACCAAAAATACGTTTCAAACGTTCGGCATTTCATGCTTTGTAGCTAATTGTTACAGTTCATCTCATTCTACACAGGCTTCCCTCCTCTTGAGTAAGCCCAATCAAAAACCCCTGCGGTTCGGGTAGAAAAGCAAAACAAAATAGAACCCCATACTCCTAAAGAATTGTTCCCGTTGAATGTTGAGAATGAAGGTAAGGGAGTGAATAGACGGTGGCGTTCCATCTATCAGACAGTCTCATCTTCATACCAGATTCAAAGATGCCCTCCCGTTGTTGTGATTCCGAGACGCTTCTTCTTCTTCCATCCTGCCTCAAAGAGGGTATCATTTTCCTAATTTCCCAATCGTTTGTGACATGGCGTAATGACCATAAGTGATTTGTTGGTTTTATTTGATGTGTGGTAAGATTTTCTGACGCAAACTTGACGTTTAGGCAGTGGCGGCAGCGGGGGCATCGGCCTCGGGGAGCTTCATGCCGGTACCGCTAAGGTTGCTGACCTTGGCGTTGGGGTTCTTGGTGTAGTAGTCGGAGATGGCAGACTTGATGGCATCCTCAGCCAACATGGAGCAGTGCACTATATTAGAGTTAGTTTGTGGGTCAATGTAATATGCCGCATGATATATAACGTACGCTTAACGGGAGGCAAGCAAAGCTCCTTGGCAATCTCGGTGTTCTTGACCTTGCCGGCATCATCCAGGCTCATGCCACGGACGAGCTCAGTGAGATAACTGCTTGAGGCAATGGCGGAACCACATCCGAATGTCTTGAACTTGACCTCGGAGATCTTTTGGGTTTCAGGGTCGACGCGGATCTGAAGCTTCATGACATCGCCACAAGCGGGAGCACCGACAAGACCGGTACCGACATCAGCATCCTTCTTGTTCATGGAGCCAACATTTCGAGGTCGTGAGTAGTGGTCGAGGACCTTCTCGTGATAAGAGCGCGAGGCGTTGACGGCAACGGCGGGGGCGATCTGTCGGGAAGTAGGGAGAATGGTAGGGCGAGCGAGAGGAGCAGCGAGAGCGGCTCTTCGGGAGACGGCACGGATTCCTCGAGCAAACATTGTGAATATGTGAGTGTGGTTGTTGTGATATATCGAGTTCGTTAGAGGGTGTTGTATGTAGGTTGATGATGATGCAAGATCAAAGTTGAATTGTTAGGAGGCGAAAAGCGATGACGATGTTTAAGGGAATGAAGTTGAAGTTCTGGGTCTGGAAAAAAGATGTTGGTTCGTTTTTGCGGGCGGGACTTTGACTTTTGAGGAGAATGGCGATTTCGGGCCATGCTCACGGTGGTGTGGGTCTTGTATAAACCAATCATTGAGCTTGGATTGCTCGGCCATTACGTCTTTATTAGCTCGGTGCTCCTCGGAGAACAAAGAAACAGATTTGACCCACTTGTCGATATGGAATCATTTATAAGATAATTCCTATCTTTTATTTCTATAATCTTCATTATTTTGAATAATCAAGGTAGACATTGAGATATGAATCTATTTTATTAAATACAATAAATTAAATGTCATAATTCCAGCACTGGCGAGGAGAAACACAGCTCAAGTAGGGGACCAAAGACTAGTCTCCATCTGATAAGATACATCCATTACTAATCGGGCTATGACATGCCGAGGCGAATCATCATCGTCATTCATTTGCCCTCAACGGACTATCGGTATCCAACTCCGTAACTACAGTCGTCTAATACCGCTGATCGATTGCTAACTGGTCAAATAAAAAGACAGCGATAGTTAATAACATTGCTCAAGACAATAAATTCGGGGTATGCCCGGCGACATCGGCCTTGAGATCCCGACGGCTTTTTCCATCTGATAAGCCTAAGCTCAAGATTGATAAAGTATGTCCTCCGTGCACAATCCGTGGGGTGATAATGCCCTGACCTATCAGGCTATCTATCACCCCAGCCTGTCGGAATTGGGAATCTCGGCTTGAGAATTCCCCGCTCGCTCTTTACACGGAGTCGGGGATACAGCCCCGGACATTTGATACCTCCAACCAGGACAAGCGTCACAGACACCAGAAGAAAGAATTCCTTGTGGTAAGTAGCACTAACAGAATCAATTCAAATTTATATGTACTTTTGCCTTCTGGTACTTCTATATTACATTCTCCTACTCCCCTGCATAATCTTCATCCAACAACACTTCCGTCAACTAAGTCAATAATGGGAGCCGTCTTGTAAATCTGTCACCTCCGCAGCGAAAGAGACAAACTCCAAACCCGACAATTGCTATTTCAGGGTCATACCTAAAACACCCCCACACGTTCAAATCGATTTCCAGTTGCTTTTGAATCGTTCCTTTCCAGGAAGTGTAAAAGGGCTCTGGTATCTTTTCGATCTCCCAGCATTCTGCTTTCTATTAGTATATACGGGCAGGACCGGGACCAAAACCTCGCGAGATATTTTGCCTTTATAACATCCAAGAGTGGTAGTATAAGCTCATTTCTCGTACTGTTCAAACTCTCCTTGTCTCGATCTGTACGTTCCCTCACTGGTGTAGACTTTGCACGCTCTTTGTTTTTGATTCACTCGCGGCGTTTCGAAATCATAGCATCCAGCTTTAAATCATAGTAGTCTCTCCCGGATATAATTCGCATCTGAGAATCCAAGTCATCAAGCTTGATTTGCTCCGAAATGTCCCAGGAGCGGTCATCTTCCACATTGAAATCATATCCACAAGCACTGCAGGCGACATCGGTGTGATGAAGACCAAGTTCATAAAAGTGTGCTTTACGAAGGTAAGACAGACGGACGGATTTGGCTTCTGTAACCATGAATCGCTTTTCCAACACTTCAAACCATTCAAAAAAAGATAAGCCACTCGGATCTGTAAAAGAGCTTCGTGCAAGATACCAAATTCGAGCCTGGTAGACAGCCACCAGCTGAGCATATGCAAGGGTGATGAGGCTCAGTAGAAATTATGATCTTGTGATTCGTTAAAAAATTGAACGTTGCAAAGAGTTTCGGCAGTTGAAAGGTATCACATTCCATGAAACACTCAAATAGTTCGTGAAGGACGGGTAGCCAAGATTGATGTCAGCACCGTTCGCAACCGCAACACGGAGAAGCGAGGGATCAGCCAATCGAACAAGTCGTAAAAGGCAGCTGTCGCCATAATCCATCAGCGTCTTTCCATCATTAAAGATAATGTTTGGGCTACCGAGTTTGGTGATCACTTTGGTCCAAAAATTGAGACAGCCATTGTGTACACCATCAGACTCATGCGCAGAGTAGTATTCGTCGGTTCTCGGAATACTCCCGAACAATACATTCTGGATCAGTCGAGGCGCGACAACAGAACTTGATGTCGCTGCCCAGTCTATTATCTTCCATAGCGGATCCCAGCTGTTCCGTTCTGACGGGAAGTAGTTAAGAATATAATTCTGGAAAACAAAAGGGTCGGCGCCACGCTCTAGAAGCAAAAGCACGGAATCTGATGCATTCATCGCTACAGCATACATCAACGGAGTGATGCAACGATTGTCATGGGTATCAACTTCATGGCCGGCATCAAGAAGACTCAGAGCGCGTAAGGGCTGTTGTACGGCTAAATGAAGGGGTGTTTGGCCTAAAAAGTTTACGTACTGCTCCAAAGGCCGTGAGGTCTTCTTAATAAGGAACACGAAGTCCTCGTTTGAATCATATAGCACTGAGTGATGGAGTAGAGGACTATTTCCAGAATCTAAAAAAAGAATTAAGTCAGTTTACGTTCGAAAAGAAGTGGACAGGCTTACCTGGATTGCGTTTGAGGAGTGCCTTGAGAAATGCGTAGTGATTGGAATCAATAAAATCTACTGAAACGGTGGTCCATGTTTTAGCTATTGGGAACGTATCTCTGAAATCACAACCCATGGAAACAAGGCTCATTACTAAATTTCTAAAGTCATCACTGCCATTCACTACGAAGGCGAATTGTCTCATGAGGCTGTTTTGCTGTCAACTATTGTAAGTCGCGAGTTCGGGGGATTACTTCAAACTCACCCCAGACTACGGCATGGCTCATCTGTATGGAACTCAACCATAAAAAGACCGTATAGACTTCTCAGTGTCCCGACACTGTATTCGCTGTACAGCGTGTCGTGTGCGGACGATACCTAATGTTAGCGATGACCATATCTTAAGCAAAGTATTACTTCCCTCCAGGAAGCCTTCTCCCTTGGGGTTTACTTGGTTGACGAACCGGGGGTTAGATCTGTAAAGATCGAAACTCTTTCTCTGCTGTTGCCCACTCCATCTCTTCACTAGCGAGCTTTCGTAAAATGTCAAACTGGGGCGCAGTGAACGACGGCGGTTTCAATCTCGAGGCTCGCTTGGAGCGAGTATCTACCTGGTTCCGCAATCAAATCCAACAGAACGGTGGCTTTAAATGGGATACCGTAACGGTGTAGAGCTAGGCGAATGTCGATGCGGTAACGTCGGGTGGTACACGAAGGGTCGCTGCATGGTCGGAACATCTCAAGCAGAGGGGAGTATTGCAGGCGCCAAAACAAACCACTGATTGTATGTTTCTTGTGACATGAACAACTAACTTTGCGAACTGAACATTGTGCGATCCCTTGTTGGTCTATGCCGGGATACTCAGTGCGTGCAACCTGAGTTGACGAGACGGTTGTGGGCGTTGCACATTCTTCTTTCTCGGTAGTTCCCTGCTTGCGTGTTTGTTACATGAGCGTATGGTGCTCAATGATGTACAGTCTTGGTTCGATATTAGAGTCGCTTACGTGAAATATAATGGGTAAGGCTTTACTGTGATATATCCTGCTTCAGCCCTGTGACAAGACATTGGAGCTCATCCAGCTCGCTCTTCAATTACCCAGAGCGGAAAACTGCTCGTATTAACTCTCTTTTTGATATAGTGATTGGTATTGCTTGCACCAAGCTGTGAAGACGGGCTGCCGCGCTTGCTGATCGGCTTCGACACCTTTCAAGCATGATCGGGCCCAGTTGTTCTTGAAGAATAATCGGCGCACTTGATTCAAGCTGGATGAGTTGTTGTCCTATTAGTTCGAGATCCTGACCCAGCCATAGTACATTACCCTCAAGACCCTTTGTGTTCTTATAGCGATGCCGTAGTTTCTGGCCGCCATCGACTAATTGAAGTGCCAGAGACACAAGTCCCGCACCACCAGCTACGACGCCGAGAAGCTCTGCCATTTTGACACTGACTTTTTCGAGTCTGTTGATAGGGTTGGAACGAAAAATGAAAGGTAAGCCGGGCTCTTGCAAGTTTGAAGGTATGCTCTGCACAGCCTGATCAGGTTCTCATCTAGTATGCATCGCAATTGGTGGGCGGCAAGGCACTCTACAAGGCTTCGTAGGACGGGAAAAACAATCTGGGAAAAGAGACAACAAGGCATTATTGTATTGCCGCGGTATAGTGTTCATTTTTATCTACTCATGTACATGGTTCTGAACCGGACGACTTACACGAAGATTGAACAGCGCGAACAAGATAGGGAATATGCAGTAAGCCAAAGTATCGCAGCTAGGAGATCAGGGGTCCAGTTGCAGGGGTTTGTAAATTATATCCAAAAGCAACATATACTCGACCAGTGTTTTATATCTACCCAAAAGCTCTTGGTTGGACAAGAGTCTGAGGTAAGGCCGTTGGATTGGAGAATCCTGGTTTAGTAGGTTTATCCTCGTGCCACTTATGCTTAAGTAAATGAAGATGTTTCTAAGTCAATAAATAAATCCAAACGTCCAGAATGATTGCAAGTTATCACCCAACGACTTGGCGACTTTATCCCATATACTAAATTTATCAACACTCGACGACGAATGGTGCTTTCGGTTTGTATACGGGATAAACTTGCGCCGCCCCGAATACAGGTACCGCATTCGTAAATGTGTTCCAAAAGTTGAGGGGCAGAATTGAATGCCAGACTATACCAAATTAAGCTCCCAGCTCCATCAAAGACACCAACACCATCCTCCAAACGCTCAGGGCCCCAGATTCGCGGGTGGACAAGACATGACCTTTCCAAACCCCTACGATTCATCACAATCTGCTCCTTCTCCCGCTCCCGCGCCCTCGCCCTCTTCTACCACTTCGGCGCGTCACTTTCCGCAACAGCAATTGCCACCACTGCCACAACCGCCGCACCACCAACAGCAACAGCAGCAGCAGCAGCTCCCAAACCAATACTCTCCACAATCTCAACATCAGTGGCAGCAGCAACAGCAACAACAGATCGCCATGATGAATGGAATGAATGGGTCCAACATGGCGGCCGGAATGCCTGTCCCCACGCCTGCGGGTCACCAGGCTGAACTCAATTACATCTACGGCATGGTCGAGGAGCTTAGCCGCCAACTGGCAGAAAACCGTCGAGTTACAGAAGATATCGTCAGCGGATTGGGAAGAGTAAGGAACAAGGCCAAGACGCAAGGTGTCAGTAACACACAAGTTATTGAAAGCGCCGCCGAAGACATCAACGGTATGTTGCTACCTTTTTTCTGCTTCAATAAATCCACAAACTAATATCCCACAGGCCAAGAACAAAACATTGATGCCCTCATTTCCCTCCTTACCGAATCCCTCGAAAAGGCAAAGTTCAGCCGTGATGCCAATGCCAAACTTCTCTCTCAATACGCCAACGCCATGGCCAACCTCCTGCGACAGTTCCACGAGTATAAAACTAAGCACGTCAGCGACGTAGCCTCATGGCACCGCTCATACCGCAAGCAACTCGCCGACGCGCGCGACGAGAATGCTAGGCTGCGCGAACAAATCTGGCAAATGCAGGCCCACGCCGGCAAGGCCAACGAGAACCTGCGCGAGTACCGACGAAAGTACGACGAGGATGAGGGCCGCTGGAATAAACTCGTCGACGAGAAGGCGCATCGCCAAGAACTGCGATTCTGGAAGCGCATGGCAATGCCTGAGTTGGACGACGATGACCCTTACTGGAGTGACGACGACGATATCATTGACCCGGCTGAGAAGGAGCGTCTGCATGAACTTGACCTGAAGGCGGCACAAGAGCAGCTCGACAGCCAGGCAGAAGATAGTGATGGCCAGGGTCCTCCGCCACAGCTGCCGCTACCAGGAATGGGAATCGGTATGGGTATGATGGGAGGGATTCCCATGCAGCGAGAAGAATCAGGGTCTGGGCATGGCGTACCTTCGCTTCCTCCTCGACCATCAAGTGCGGCATCGAGTACAGGCTCGACAGGGCAGTGAGCGAGGAGTTTTGCAAGATGGAAAAGAGGAATATTTTGATTTAGCGATACCCAAGACATGAATGGATATGTACCATAAAGCAATGAATGGATGGCATCTGTAAACATATCCTTGACCGTGTCTTCTACAAGCTTTTCAACTTTCTGACTTGGCTGTAACATGTGCTATGATACGCAGTAGTTGACACAGTATTGTGATTTCTGCAACGAATGACTTTAGAAGACACCCGCAACAGCAATCTTTTTATATGAAATATCTTTCTCATAGTAAATGTTGGCCTTATCTCGTACGGGCATAGACAGGCAACTTGGTTCGCCAATGACCTTATGCGTTGTCAATTCTCAAAAACAGAAACTCTATAGGGTAAACCGGGTCGTAGCCGCAAACGCCAGACGTATTCAACTCATGATGCATTAAATCTATCAAAGGTATCGCCCCAACACATTTGCACAATCCGTCATTGCAATGCTGATATCCGTTTCTAATACCATTTCGCCAAATGGAAGACCCAACCAACCGTTACATTACATGTCTTTTCTCAATCAAACTCCTTAGCTGGCAACGGTAGTTTACCGTCTGCCCTGGCTGTTGGCGCCAGTCCTTCTCTGAGTACCCGGCCTGGCCAGTGTGTACTTGGCGAACGCCCTTGCGAGAGCCTTCTTGCAACTAATCTTCTGGCTGCCCACAAAGCTGTCCACCGTGACGGCGATGGCGCGATCGATGTCCTGTGCTGCACAGTAGTCTGATAGACGCATGCGGCAGAAAGCTTCGCTGATACGGATGATAGCCTCAAGATGTCGCACCTGAGGTTGTTAGTATTGGAAATTATACCGAGGCGCAATGGACATGACTTACTGTAATAGGAATGGCACCTGTGGCGATTGACTCTCGTCGCATGTCAGCAAAGAGTCGTGCGATCTTGTCCTCATCGATATGGTAGAGCTTAGGGGAACAGTGTTCACGAGCGTAAAGGATATACTTCCTCAACAGCTCTTGTGAAATCTCGCCCTCGGGATTGCGCGTCGACGCTTGGGTCTCAGCTTGAGTATCGTGTTCAACCTCCATGGAGTCGTGCTCTGCCTGGCTGAGAGGATGGCTTCGGCTGTGGGATCCCACGATGAAACGGGCCAGACGCTCGTCTTCCTCAGGCTCCACTGTGTCTCGAACAACACAAAGAATATCGAAACGCGACAAGATGGGCTCTGTCAGCTCGACATTGGCAGAGAAGGGGGCCGTAGAGTTGTATCGTCCACCGATAGGGTTAGCTGCTGCAATAACACCACAGCGAGCCTGCAGGGTAGTAACGATACCAGCCTTGGAAATGGAAATAGTCTGCTGTTCCATGGCTTCGTGAATGGATGTTCGATCTTGGTCGTTCATCTTGTCGAACTCGTCAATAAGGCAAGTTCCGCGATCAGCCAGTACAAGAGCACCACCTTCCAGTGTCCATTCGCTAGTGAGAGGGTCTCGACGAACACTAGCAGTCAAACCAACAGCACTAGCACCCTGGCCAGTAGCGAAAACGGCTCGGTGGGCTGTCTTCTCGGCGTACTTGAGGACTTGAGACTTGGCCGTACCAGGATCACCCAGAAGAAGAACATTGATGTCGCCTCGGAGGTGGTGGGCACCCTTAGTGACCTTTGCAACACCGCCAAAGAGCGACAAAGCCACGGCAGTCTTGATATCAGTATGTCCGTAAATGCTAGGTGCTATCGAGTTGATGATCTTGTCGACGATGTTGGGGTCGCGCGCCAACTTGCGAATGTTCTGCTCATCCTCTTCTGTCATGCGGAAACCAGCGAGCTGGTCGTGAGACTTGACGACGTTGTTGGCTTCGAGAATGGTAGCAAATACAGGGAAGCCGTTACGATTGTTGAGCTGAGCGTCGTAGTTGTTGCGGTAGATTCCGGTCACTTCAATTTCCTCACCGGGCTTTGCCTTGTCGATAAGATCCCAGAGAAGGATAACCTCGCGGGATCGCGGCAATCGACCAGCAGGAACGGTACCGGGTGACTCTTGAAGAGAAAGCTTTTGGTAGTTTCGGTAAACTGTCTTTTCCGAGTTGAGGGTGAAGGGGCCTCTTGACTGGCAGCTCTGGCAGTAAGTGATCTTGACTTCGACATTCGACTCTTGCTGGAAAGGACCAAGCGTCACACCACACTTGGTGCAGTCAAACTTGACATACTTGAGCTGAGGGAAGACACCCGATCGTCGGGTGACAACACCACTGACTCGGACAAGGCAGTTGAGATGTGACTGGCGGAGCTGGCGGAGGGTATAGTGCACGGGAAGATCGAAAATACGGACATGAATCTCGGAGTGGATGCGTTCGTAATCAGGGTAATGCAGAAGAACAACGTCCATGGCAACCTCGTCGAAGAGCTTGAGCATCTCAACAGGCGCATTGGCCAAGAAATAGGCCAGGGTAGCCTTACTTTCGGAAAGATGTTCATACGAGACCTCGAGAGTCTCGGCGTTGATCTCACCAAGTGTGCGGATTCGGTTACCGTACACTGATGAGCCAGATGTGTCGGTATAAGATGTGAGGAAGGCCTTGAACTCGCGTCTGATGGTCCGTTGAACTGAAGGTAACGAAACCCATTCAGTCAAGCTGGCAGCCTTAACATCGCCGAGTGCCTCGAGTGATAGTTCCTCTGACATGATGTCCGTGTCCATCATGTCGTCAGGATTCTCGTCATAGTTGTGGCGGCGGCGGCGAGGTTGAGCAGACAAGTCGATATCATCACCATCTTCGTCTAGTGCTCCCCAAACCTGGGGCATTCCCCTTCCTTCCTGGATGGCGCGATCTCGTCGATTCAAGACCTTGTCGACTTGCTTTACCTCGTCTCTACCCATAGGATCATATTGCACATCATCGATGCCTTCGCTACCATAACGATCGTTTTCTACATCTCGGTAATCGTTTTCGTAACCCTCGCGGAACAGATCAACTTCGTCGTCGGCCATCTCGTCTAAATCGTCGATATCATCCTCAATTAGAACCTCTTCCTCAATATCGTCGTCGTCTTCGACACCATGTGCCATGTTGAACTCGGGGGGTGATGAAGGCATGGGGCTCGACGCCATGTTTGCTGGTGAAGGTCCATCATGTCCTCCTGTGCGTGACCGCTTGCGATTCGGACGAGCCGAAGATGGGTGTAGGGGGGAGCTTGAAGCTGTTAGCTGTTGCTCCAATAATAGCGGAGGCTGTTTAGTGAACGAGCGTACCTCATGTTTTCACTCTTCAAGTATTTCGTTGGTGGGAGATACTGTGATAGAGCACTTGTGTAGTTGATAACCTAAGGCTTGGTATGATTTGAATGCTAGGTATCGAGACTGAGGGGCTGATTTTGTTGTATTGGGTTGGGAGGGAAACCATGAAAGCCAAGTGGAGCAATTGGACAAGGGTTAATTTCGCGAGTGGAAGCGCGACTCGACGCGTAGATTGATTGGCAGATGTATTGTACGCGTAAAGTGTTTTAATCGGTGGTAACTCAAAAACTTGCGACAGGTATGCGTGTTTATACGCGGTTTAGTGTCCGCGTTATTGTTTCCGTTCCAGTTCCTCTACCAACTCTGTGTTACACTGCACCGAATGTAGTGATAGCTAACCTTTCTCCTCATCTTGTCTCTGTACTTCGATTCTCCATCAATTCTGACAAATCTGTCATCCAATCCTTTGATTTCCATTTTGATTCCTTCCTTTTCCTTCCTTAATCCATCTTTTTGACACCAAATAACGAACTCTATCGCCATCATGTCTACAGAAGCTCCTGCGCAAGATGCGACTCAGCAAGAATCTCGAGCGCGCAAAGACAGCTTCTCCGGCAAGTCGCAAACCTCGGAGAATTCACAGACTGCGGCTGAGTACGACCATCACTCAATCATCTGTGGGGTCTTATGTTAACTTTCTGTTAGGTTTATTCGATCGCAAGAGGCTCTCGAAGCTGATGCCCGCGAGGCTCTACCTTATGTATGCTTGCCCATTCACTCGACCTCGACATCATTCGCTTACATTTGCTTTAGAGTATCGACACATGTACCAAAATCCTCGGGCCTCTGCGACAAGCTGTCTTCGCATGTTTGACTTGCAATCCGCCTCCGGCTAAAGAGGGCGACGACTGGACACCCGCCGGTGTATGCTACGCTTGCTCCATCCAATGCCACGGCGAACACAACCTCGTCGAGATCTTCCAGAAGCGCAACTTCACATGCGATTGTGGTACCAAGCGTATTCCCTCGATAAGCCCATGCACCCTCCGTCTGAACGAGGCAACCAACACTCGAGGTGGGGTGCACTCCGAAGAGCCCGACGTGAACAATAAATACAACCACAACTTCCGCAACAGATTCTGCGGTTGTGGGTGTGATTATGACCCATTCCAACAGAAGGGCACGATGTTCCAGTGTCTTGGCCTAGGAACAGTCGAGACGGGCGGATGCGGCGAGGACTGGTATCACCCTGGATGTTTGGTTGGCATGGGACCCAACTGGTTCGAAAAGATGGAAAAGCCCAAAAAGACAGCACCGGAAAACAAGGAAGAAGGAAAGTTGACAACAATTACTGAGGATAACGAAGAGCAGAAGGACCCTGCTCAAACCGCCGACCAAGAGAAGGATAAGGCCGCTGAGAATGCAGTCGAAGCAGAAGATGACGAGGATGAAGATGTCCCTCTGCCCCCCGGATTCCCTGAAGAAGATGCATTCGAAGCTTTTCTGTGCTACAAGTGTGTCGAAGCGCATCCATGGATCAAGCGCTATGCTGGTACTTCAGGCTTCCTTCCAGCAGTATTACTCAACCAAGCGTCAACCCAATCAAAGACAGAGCCCGCGCCTGCGAAGGACGAGCCTGATCCCGTAGCCGAAACTACAGTCCAAACTGAGGGTGGCCAGGACTCGCGCAAGCGCAAGGCTGATGACGATGTGGAGGAACCTACACAAGTCAAACGTGTCAAGAGTGAATCTCAATCCGGGGACGAAAAGACTACCGAAGAGACAACATCCACAGACAAGCTCCCCTGCAAGCTGAAGAACCTCCCCCCTGCCCCCGAAGGAAAGTTCTCTCTATTCCTCAAAGAAGACTTCCGTGAAGCTTTCTGCCGCTGCTCAACTTGCTACCCCCACCTCAACCCTCATCCACAGCTTCTTGAGGAAGAAGAGGTCTACGAACCTCCTCTGTCTGATGGAGGCTCTCAAGCTGATGGCAACGGCGGCGGTTCCCACGGAAGCGGCAGTCTCCTAGAGCGCGGTGAAAGCGCTCTTCGTAACGTCGATCGTGTTCGAGCTATTGAGGGTGTGATGGCCTATAACCATCTCAAGGAGCAGCTCAAGCCATTCTTCCAGCAATTCGCTGAGAGTGGGCAGGCGATTGGAGCTGAAGATATTAAGGCTTACTTTGCCAAGCTTAGAGGTGACGAGAAAGGTATCGAGGAAGCTGCTGCAGACGCCAAAGATGGTGAGGGCGGTGGTAGTGGCGATGGGGATCACCGAAAGGAGCAGAGCGGATTTTAATTTCTTATGTTAAAGCGACATTATAGATATAAAGTCGAATGGCGCTGAAAGGCTCGATGAACAGATGTGTAATTAGTATTGGGGTGTAATAATAGTGTATAGTACAGGCAGTCTGCCACAATTTGATACCAAAGACGAAAATAATCGATTTTTACTATTAGCTTTGACTCCTCGTTCTGACTCGACTGTATTCATCGGTGAAGAATCTCTGCTGGGTTATATTAGGAAAGGCTAAAGGTATCCCGACTTACACTGACTATCTATGGCCGAAGTATTGACAGGATAATCAGGCTGATCGGTACAATTAAGTCAGAGACGAGCATGTTTTCGGTTCATTTGATATATCACCTAGATCACAGTTGAAATGTACAGCCAGAAAGCCAATCTTGAGGTCGACATCGACCTGCAGTTTACTCCAGACATGGGAATCGCGTTTGACCTGTGGAGGGTATAAAATCTAGTACAAGGGAGCCAAGCAGTAGAAGGCAACGTCGGAATGAGGAGATAACCTCATTGAGCTGCCATCTGGAACCCCCGAGACTTATCAGGGGGAAGCCGGTGGCGTAAAGTGTGGGATATGAGGTGAAGCAGGGGCGAGTTGAGATTAGGTCGAGAAAGGGCACTATCTAGAGTTTCAACTCGGGAAGAATTTGACCTCCAAACCTGACGTCAGCCTTCAGATTAGCGGTGGTGCAGTAGAGATCCAGGAGTTTAAAAATACATATTCCTAGATGATTGCAATTGCAGTACTTGTTGAGGTTTCAATGCTGTGGCACTGTCATGAGAGTGTCAAAACGCAGTTGTAATATACCAGTCTGTCTACTCCTTTCCTTTTGCTCGCCAATGCGTGGCACTGCTACAGTTCTGCACACAGAAGATACTGAACTGTAAATAATTTTACAGCATATCATCGTTTCCGTGGTTTCATTTTAAATTATTCACAAACCTAATACAACCATCCCAACATACCTGACCAAGTAACTCTCCCCTCTAACAATGTCTATCTTCTACCTCCTCACTCACAACAATCAAGACTTGAACTACCGTCATACGGCAATGTCGCAGAGCATCGTTCCGTACCTCTTGGGTACACTGGCATTCTTCATCTATGTCTGGTACTCGTCACTTCGCACCAGCGCTGGTCCCCATCGTCGAGTAGTAGAGCAGTTCGAGTTCTCCGAGGCTACGTATGAAGAGAAGATCATCTACCTTATGAACCAAATGCGTTGGTGGGACTACTACTGCGGCCTCTGGCTCATGCACCTGGTCATCCACCTAGGTATCGCTTGTCAGACTCGCGACTGGCCGTACACCATCTCTGTCACATACATCGTTGTATGTGTCGCGTACTTTTACATCTTGTCCATGTCATTTGCTCTGGCTGAGATTCAACTTCCCAACCTCTGGGCTGTGATAACCGACGGCCACCGGATGAAATGAGTTGACAGTTTGCTATCATCCCATCCTCCTGAATCATTATCAGCATCTTCAGGTTCATCATCAGCCTCAGCGACTGGGAGGTCAGGAAAGGCATAGTAGCAACGTCTCCTTTCCCGGTCACGAGAGTGATACACACGAATTTACAGGTTAGATCTGTCTTTGTGCCATGGCAGGAACACATTCTGGACTTGCGATAAGGACGTCTAGGGCCCTTTCTGACGATGTGACTGGACTGGTACTCAAGGTACTGTCAATCACTGCTCACTATTAAGACTATTGTGACTAACCTGCTGACTTGTAGTTTCACAAAACTCAAGAGAACGAGTGGCACAATGGCGAGGATCATTTCAGTCGTCACGTTTGGGCGATGGCCTCAAACGAAGAGATACCCTGAGGAATTTCTCAATGCCGCCGCGAAGGATACACATGCTGATTTGGGTTTGTTTTAGTGTAAGTTACTTTAATAATTAGACTCGCCTAAAATATTGCTAACCAGTGATGTCTAGTTGTTGATAGGTTTGTATGCAGAAGACGAAGCAACATATTGAGGGGCCAAGGTGGACATTGTTTAGCATGGACAACACAATTGGAGCGAAGTATTTATATGATAACCTCTCAAATAGTATTCACTGTAAATGATTAGCCAGTAGAATAGAGACCGTATGAATTGACCTGTTCCTGGGTTTATATCTCAGCCCAATTGATCCCAACAAACTCAAAGCTCAACTTCAACCACATCTGATGCAGGAATCGCCGAGCACGTAAGTACGTTCCCATCCATTTGAACTCCTCCAGAAACTGAACCACAAGCTACTTTAGCGACGCAGCTTCCACAAGCACCTACACGACAGCCATAATCGGGCGTCATACCAACAGACTCTGCGAGTTCCAGCAATGACATGGAACTGCCCTTCTTCCATTGAACAGTCTTACTGGACTTAGTGAACCGGACTGTGGCTTTCTCTAAGTCTCCAATTGTGTGACCAGAGGCTGAAAAGCTCTCGCTATGGATGAAAGGCGGAGGTATGTTGCGATTTATGAGGATACTCTTCATGTCTTCCTCGAAGTCTTTGGGACCGCAGATATATGCGGCCGAGAACTTGGCTGGCAGGTCCATTGCAGTGGTCCTGAATGGGTTGAACTTGTAAGTCTTTCCCAATATCTCTGCCATTGTATCCAAACCCGGTCTTCCCAAGACATTGTAGTCTTGTCCTAGTATATCGATGTCACGAGGCTGTGTCATGAAGACATACCTCTTGATAGGGTTGTTCTCAATTTGGAGAAACTCGTTATGAAACTGCAGACCTCTCCCATCCTTGACCACATGGATCCATATACCTGGTACTACATTCATGCTGGGATGGTTGGCATGGGCCTTCATCATAGCAAGTATAGGCGTGATGCCGATCCCAGCTGATAGGTATAGTTGTCGAGGAGTTACCGCCTGTGACCAATCTAGGACGAACCGTCCAGCTGGGGAACGTGCTGAGAGGATATTTCCTTCTTCAAATTCGTTGCACATCCATGAAGAAGCGCGCCCTACTTCTTTGATGCTGATGCGATAGTGTTGGGGCTGCGTTCGCCCTGGCCAGTCCGAGATACTCCAACTGCGGGTATCGCCTGTTGGTAGCCGTACGGTAAGGAACTGACCTGGTAGATACCAAGCCAGTTCTTTCTCGTCTGCCGAACAGATATGGAATGACTTTATGCCATTGCCTTCATCGACGATTTGAGAAACTTGCAAATCTCGCCACCCTTTCCACGCGTTTCTACCTTTGTTCACTTTATCGTCGATCCCAGCAACCTTTCGATTAATAATCAGCCGATTCAATCGGAGGAGGTTATCATGATTTGCCAATAAGTTGAGAGTGTCGCGGGTCTTGAGATCCGAGTCGAAGGCCAGTCTAGTGATGGTTGCCGCATTCATAGTATCCCCCGATGATGATTCTTTGACCGCACAATCTCCTGGGTAGATGCGTCCCCTGCTGAGGACTCTTAAGTAGACACCAACCCGACCAGTGTCGGCTAGTGCTTTCAGCCACGAATCCTTCTGGCCGCATCTCCACGATAGCTTCATACAAGGGATGCGAGATCCACAGACTTGTAAACGAACGCTGCTGCCGACTCTCCATACATCGCCCAACCGAAAGTCAGATTCAGTCAGAGTCTTCTCTGTACATCTGAAGGTGATGTTCTCACCCCAGTGACACCAGTCCCATTCTGATCGATCAACTCCAAGCTCTGTGCACCAGTAGTCGTAGTTCTCGGCGAGACAAATGTATACGGGACCATCATGTACCGCAGTCGCATTCCCTATCACTCCATCTTCATTCAGCTCGATGTATTCTGAAGGAGACCTTTTCGGTGTGTGTATGATGCTCGTCTTGATCTCTAGTCCGTTGATGTTGTGTAAGACAGGGACGGCGTAACTAACAGCGACAGCTTCCATAGTAAATGGATTGCTCTAAGCAATACCTGAAACTCTTATAGTATATGCAACATGCTTTCATAAATGACACACAGATCAAGGGGCGCTCTTATAGCTGTGTTTATATCCAACTTCTCAATGAAGGAGTTCGGGTTCGGGTTCGGCATTTTGTAATCCGGAGATAAGCCATTTTTCTATTCCTCCGTGTCCATGTGCGCCTTAAGAATCAACCCGTCCATGATAAATTCACGAAAATTCCGCGAAGGAAAGTAAATCTTATGAAGGAGGTAGTTATGAGACCTCTCCAAGGCCGTTCTGAAGTACCATCATTGCTGGGCATGTTTATTCTCCAAGGCGAGTCTCGAGCCAGCGAATGGGTTGGTAACCCTATTATCTGACTTAGACTTGGCAGCGTAAAGATTCGTAAACCTCATTCGCTTGTCAGTGAAGACGTGTTCAATGACGATGCCATTGGAGGCAGCCCCTTGTCGCAGTATATGTGCCAACCGGGCTGACCAGCGTAGGCATGAAGGTTATGATAGAGTCGAGCTGGGCATATGCCCCGTGTTGTGATCCTGCGAATACTGTACTACAAATCAGCCTTATATCCAGATCAACGTAAGGTATCTTCAACTCATCGGTATCCTGATGGGGTATCAATCGTGAGAATTACCGCAATGCCGGGGGGAGTAGCCCACGGTATTGTGATATTGAATCGGGTATAAACATGACAATAGCTCTTGAGGAAGCCTCGGCTTATACAAACATGTTCTCTTTCCGGGGAGAGGATCTCAGACAGTGCCACCCACCGTTAAACTAAGAGGAATCGTGCAACAACCCCGGGAACTCTGAGTCCAAGGGCTTGTTCTTACCGAACTCCCGAATTGTGAGCTGTCAAATTGTTTTTGACCAAACCATTCCTCATATTTTCCTGAGCGTGACGTCTTTCTATGGCCGAAAGACATACCATGTGTACATTGCAGATCACTGAAATAGCTCCTCTGCGCCAAGTAGGTGAGTGGACCTTCTATACATAGTGGCACCAAGGCCTAAAATCTTAAAAACAAAGTCTCTGTTCGACGTAGTGTGGTTTGTATGCAGTGTGTCATCAGCAGGCTCTAAATCACTTATAGTGAGTGTATCGCTAGATGACTTATGTAAATCTGATGGCGTATGTCTTTGGTAGCAAATCTGAGATCCATTGTATGGATTCAGGTAGACTGTCAAGTACTTTAGACGCCAAGGCTCTATGTATGCTATAGAACTATGCTAGGAGAGATTTACTTATAGATCGATGTTCTATACGTTGCTGTAACGTGGCATGACACAACCTTTGAGTTATTTAACAGAGCTTGCAGAGAAATTGTACACATACGAGCGCGGAACGAGTAGATGGTGAAACTTGATAACGGTGCCTCCTGTAGTCACACAGTTGACGAGATGTTGCGAATAACATTGTATAGATGTAACGTGCGGTACCGTTTGTCTCTCTAGTCTTTCTAATGTCTGATGCTGGAAGATGTAGCTTGTTTTGATATATCCAAGGGCTCGATTGTACAGCGCTTAAGAAAAGAATTCCTCTATGGCCGCCGTGTACTGATCGGGATCCTGCAGGGGCGCAAAGTGGCTCACACCGGTAAGAATCCGCAACTTGCTGCCCTTGATGGCGTTGTGCAACTTCCCTGGCACATCCAGATTGACCGCCTCCTCATGCTCCGCGCCAACGATAATGACCTTCTTCCCATCAATAGATCCTAGCTGTTTATCGGTGAATTGGGGAAGTGTCGCCTCCATGGTGACAACCTTGCTGCCAAACAAGGTGAAGTTGGCGCTTGGCTGCAGCTGAGCGTATTCTGTGCGACATCGAGAAACAAACTCGGAAAAGATTGCCGTGTCCGAAAAGGTTGCGTTGGTCTGCTCAGGGTTGGCAGAACCTCCGAAAATGAAAGCCTTTTGGATAGGTGTTGCTGTGACTGGGTTGAGAAGGGCAGATAGTGTCGTTATAGCGCCATCGGACCAGCCCACCACATTGTACTCTTCGATGCCGGCGGCTTTGAGCTGGTCATTGATATCTTTGGCAAACTGATCAAACGTGAAGACATCATCTTTGTTGAAGGTGGATCGGCCATGACCTCGGCGATCAACGGCAATCACATAGTGTCCATTGTCGATGAGACGAGAGATGACGGATCCGAAATAGGCAGAGTAGCCAAGACCACCATGGTCAAGAACTATAGGAACTCTGCCAGCTTCTTTGTTGTACTCTTGCATCCAAAGGTGAACTCCATTAATCAAAGTTGTCTTGGTGTTGATTGGAGCTGGTAGGTTCGGTGTTGGTGGGAGTGTTTCCCAGATCGGCTTCTTCTGGTGCACGGTCAGGCAGTTAGCCAGAGACCCAAAAGCAATCAACTTTCCCAGCAACATGATGCGTGTGATGTGATATATGAGTTGTTTGTGTCGTGGTGTTTGAGTAGAAGGGGCCATGGAATATATAGGAGCGGAGTGACCGGATACGAGATGCTTTGGCCCCCTTGTCGGATTGCAACTACCGCCAAATACTAATTTTGACAAATAGCTGTTGGGAGATTCCAGAACCAAGCAGGCTGGGATACCCTGGTTTAGTGCTGGTATCTTGTTGGTGGATAGTTATCCCACGTTGAGTTTCTCGACCGTTGCAAACTCTATCTTTCGCTAACCGGAACGCACGGGCGAGGCTGACTATGCAAACGCAGTAGAGACCGCTCAGGTCTGAGGGTAATAGAGTAGCTGGTAAGTTGAAGCATGATGAAGACGATTAGCAAGTTGGTCTATACTATACATACTAGACTCCAAGTCTTGTATCCTAAGTCTCGGAGACTAGCCTTTTTGTTACCCGCTAACCAAGACTGCAGAGGTCACAAGCTAAATTCGATTCTCTTTGTATGGCAGCATGAGCTCAATGACACTCTCAGGTGATGCGGCATTTGAAAAGATCTCAACAACCTCCAACCCAGCTTCTGCTGCGATGGCTCTGAAGTCCTCCTCGGTACGCTCACAAGCCTCTCCAATGTGTCCTAGCATCATCATATCCATTGAGGTAGCAGGTAGAGAAGGATTCTCTTCGGAGAGAACGATTTCGTTGATCAGGACTTTTGAATACCCTGGTGTCAGAGCAGGCTTCAAGTTCTTCAGTATCTGAACACCATGCTCGGTACTCCAGTCGTGAAGGATAGAGTGGAGGAAGTACGATATAGCTCCGTGAATGGGCTGCGGTGTGAAGAAGTCGTGGGCTTGACTTTCAAAAGCGATTGTCTCGGTCACATCCGCGATGACTTCTGGTAGGTCCTGTAGGACTAGCCGGCCGGATGAATGGATTCCATTCGCAAAAGACAATAGATCATGCCCTCGGCCACCTCCAACGTCAACCACGAACACATCGCTTCTGGATTCGTCAAAACCAGTAGCTAGACGCTCTTCCATAGGATAGAACTCCCACCGATCCTGGTTACTGGCTCTGTAAACTGACATGAACGATCCAAACCAGTTGATATAAGGAGGATTGGCGACTAGCCAGTCGAAGAAAGGAAGAGAAGAGTTGTGAGCATATTGATATGGCCCATCAGGTGAGCCGGGATGCTGGTAGTTGGCCTGCTTGAAGTGGTCGGGGAAGAAGCAAAACGACTTTGTAGCGGCGCGTTGACAGAATGAGATACTATGTTGGTAGTTCTCCTTGGCGAGGGCGTTGGAAAGACCCGTGGCATGCCAACCAGTAGGTTTGGAGAAACGGACGACTTTGTGGGCAGCGAAGTGTCTCATGAAACGATCGAGCAAAGGTACGGCGATACCGGTCTTTTCAGAAAGGGCTTGGGTGGTGAGTCCATCCTTGGCTTTTTGAAGATGTTGAAAGATCTTCGTGTTGTTTGCGACTTCGAGACTGCCGCCAAGAGAAGCCTATTAGAAGTCAGTTATTGGTTCATAATGGTATACAGAGTACTCACAGTAGTGAACCAGATACGCTGCACAAAATCGGTTGGTGTCTCCAGTTCTGCCAGGAGCTGACGATTCAAGTCCAGTAGAGTTGCTCGAGCGCCGAGCTCTTCCCTGTCGTATGCCGTAGCGGCGTCTTGCATGCGCTTGATAATTTCTGAGGACGCCATATTAAATTACTGTTGGTTCTAGGAAGTTCAAAAGCGATGGGTAAGGTCGGGAAGGTTTGTCTTACCTCGGTTTTCATGGAGGCGGGCGATTCAAGGATCTTTTTATCACATTTTGATCTTGCAGGGGCATTCTTCTTGTTAGCTTCAAGGATGAACTCATGGTATGCATGTTTTACACAACCAACAGATGTCTACTTGAACCTGCTAAGATTCACCTGAATGGGTAATTGTATGTTGGGCAAGTGTCCCCTGCATATTTGTGATAGCCTTGCGTTAGGTCTCTATATTAGGAGTCGTCTTGTTCGTATTCGATATTCTATCGTAGATGTTTGCCGTATTTATTCGTGCTTGTATCTTGGTGAGAAAGTCTTCTAAGAGTTATACAAAGGAAGTATCTCTGTGTCACGTAATCAGTGGAGTAGGAGCCAGGCAGGGAAGGAGACATCTCTTATCGTTCTTCTTCTCTTCATCGGTTTCAAAATCTAACAACATTCCAAAATCGCGATGTAAGCGAGATAAATTCACAATATTTTATCTGGTCAAAAAACAAGGACAGAAGAGTTCCCTACTCAACTGTGGCACGGAAAGTCCATTCTTCAAGGGGGGTCCTGAAACCTGCATAACCGAGTCCCTCATGTAGACAATTTATGCATGTTGTTGGTTGTTAGCGCCAACATAAAGTATTATTCCCAGTGGACCAGTTCGATATTGTCCGGAAGAATATCTCCCAACCTTGTGTTTGCAACAACTGCAAGGAACTGGGTCTACAACCAACAACTCTTATCTTTCTAAGGTTCGTTTCTCTCATCTGAGTGTTGGTTCTGATATGATTAGGATCTTCTGGCCATGGCCTGACCAACAGAATGATCCTGGGAGGAACTTGACGGACGATACCAAGAGGCGACACATTGCCCAAAATCAGGAGTTTTATCATATACTATTAAGCCACAACCTCTTAAATGTGAATTTTATTCTTAGCTCTGTCACTGACTATCGCAGGATGGAAATTAACGATGTACCGACCGATTCGAGACAGACTCAGCTCTGTCTGGTAGCATGGATATTTACCGGTATGGCCATCGTCACCGTCCTGGCCAAGCTCTTTACAACGATAGTCATCTTTCAAAGACCTGGCTGGGATGACTTGTTGATTCTGTTATCATTGATTGGAAGCATCGTTGCTTCTTCTCTGGTACAGGCCTCTGCAGATCTTGGTTTGGGTCGACACACAGCTTCTGTCGCTGCAGAGCCTGGAGGCGTACAAAGGATGGTTAAGACCAAGATTCTGCAAGTTGTTGGCTACCGTAAGAAGTCCCTCTAGCTTCAATGGCCTGATAGTTGACCCGACTATTCAAGCTTTCAACATTATGGCCTACAGTCTCCCTAACGTTGCCATCTTAATCCTCATCGAACGACTCGTCGGCAACACGAAAATAATGTCCCGCCGATTCCTTCGTATCGTCGTAGCTATACAGATTCTTCTCGCTGCGATATCTGTCGTCATCATCTTTGCTCAATGTCGACCTACCAAGATGCTATGGGATCAGTCAGCCACAGGGGAATGTTGGAGTCCAGACGTCTTCAACCACTCTTCTTATGTCGTCAGCAGTTTTACCGTCTTGACTGATCTCGTCCTTGCTGTTGTCCCGATCCATGCGTTTTGGAAATTAAAACTGAAGAGACAAGAGAAGCTGGAGATCACATTCATGTTGGGCTTGACATTCCTTTCTGCCGTTTTCACAATTGTCAAGGCAACGTACTTGTATACCTTCAATGATCGAACGGATCCTTGTAAGTCTACTATGATTACTTGGCTGTGCCATAGCATTACACTCCGATGCCGAATTAACCCCCGTTACAGTATACAACGTCGTGACTTTAATTATTTGGGGCTTGTTAGTTCTTTACATCTCGATTGATGTGCATATTGTACTGATATATATACTTCAGGGTTGAATAAAACGTTGTCATAATGGCTGCGAGCGTGCCGACCTTAAGGCCACTCATCCGACTTATAAAGGGCAAGCATCCGATGTGTAGCGCAATTGGTTACATCAAGAGTGGCATTGGAGCCGACCTGAAGCATAACGAGTCAATATCCGAGGTTCCTCTCGGTGATATGCAACCCAAACAGGAGAAAGAAAGTCAACTCAGTCTTGAACGGAATAGTTCTACAGAAGAACTGAATGGAAATGCGGGCAAGGGTATAACTCTAAAAAGGCTATCAAGTACGTATTAGAGATATCAATCAGCGGGATGATAGATAGGTAGACATAATAGAAGAGAAGATACAATCTTAGTCGCACGTTAGGCGTTCACTCTGCCTTTGCGGACTCGGGGGCATCACTCGAATAGAGTTGGAATCGAATATAGAGAACATAGAAACTGATATTTCGTCATAACTATTGTTTTAGTTCATACCCTAGGTCAACCTTGGCTGCTTGCAAGTCAACCAGTGACCTTGGGCATTGCGGTATCCATCCTAATACCTTCCATTACCCCAATCCTAACCCTAAGCCCACCCGTTTTCATTACTACATTATGCCTCATAGCGAGTGACTTGACCAGAAGTCTAACTCTTGGGCTGGGATACCCGCTCCCTCATTAACCAGCTTCCCAGAAGCTCTAGTTCTTTCCGGCGAGGATGATAGTGTTCTTGACCTTGACTAAAGGGTTGTTAGCTTGAGTTATATCAATAAATTAGCTGGTTTCCTTACCCTGCTTAGCAATGACGGTGATCTTGGGTCTTGTGGCAGCGTCGATGAACTGAGTGAGATCGATACCGCCAATACCATCGATGAGGCCAAGGTTGAGATCGCCGAGCTTGAGGCTGGACAGCTCGAACTGGTCAAAGATACCGGTCTCGGCAATAGCGAGCATAGTGGATAGCTGCTGGAGCTGGAGGAGAGACTTGATGCTGAACTCATCGGCAGCGAAGAGGTCGGCGAAGATGTTGACGTCGAATCTGTTTTTGATGCTGAGGGTCTGGAGTCTGACTAGGTCGAGCTGGTTGACCTGGAGGAGGTAGTTGAGATCGACTTGGCCAAAAGCAAGCTCACGCTCACGACCTCGACCAGCACGGTCTTCTTCGCGGTCTCGGTCCTCACGACCTCGATCAGCACGGTCCTCTTCGCGGTCTCGGTCCTCTCGGCCCTCTCGGTCTTCTTCACGTCCAGGAGCAAGCTCGCGGCCATCCTCTAGACCAGGGGTGGGAGTAGGAGCGGTCTCGTTGGCTAGAGCGGCACGCTCGTTACCAAAGGTAGAAACAAAGCCAGGTCGTGCAGAGACAAGGGCAGCAGAAGCGGCAATAAGGAGGGTAGAGAACTTCATCTTGATGGATTTGAGAAGGAAGTTGGTGTTTGTTGTGGTGGTGTGTAAGTTAAAGGAGTGGGCAACCAGTCGAATGGGTATATATCGAAGGAGTGGATGTAAACTTGAGCACAGCTCTAAAGGTTAAAATAAGTAGAAAGAATGGAAGTCGACTAGAGCACAGCTGGAGTTGAAATGTTAGCAAATGAAGGTATCGTGATGGATTGGGAGAAGAGGAAGCTTACCTCGTAGGAAATGACTAGAGAATGAAAGTAATAGACTGGTTGATTGGATTGGATGGTGAGTGAGGATGAAAGCTGATGATAGAGGGAGGCTGTGCAACGTTTATATAGGAAGAAATGTTTGAAAAAGTCTTGAGTCTTGACAGGTCGATTCATCCGTATCCATCCGCTATCGTTTCTTGTTGAGATTTCCAGCTCATCCCCAGATTCACCATGACCCAGCCGAAACGACAAACTGAACCCAACATGCTCGGAAACTCAGCAACCGACGGTCTCACTACCGAGGACGAGGGTATAGAATGCGACGTATTGCGGGAACCTGCAGGTGCCAAGATGGCTTCTTTTCTATCCGTGGTCCCTTTGGACGAGTCTACAAGGATGAGACGTCTGAGCTTTCCCTCAAGCGATGAAACGATAAGGCTTTGAAATGAATTAAAGTGTCAGATTGTGTCGTATCGGGCTTAAGCTTGGCGTTATGCTTCTTGGGAACTTGCAGGGGTTCGTCGCATTCGAATTTGGACGAGACGGGTTACGTCGCAACTGTCAGATGAACTACCAGGCATTGACCGGGAATTTGTTTAACTGTCTCAGCTCTACCGCGGGATGGTAGGGCCCGGCAACCGGAGCTGATACTAACTCAATTGCCAAGTAGGAGTAGAAATGCGTCAACCAAAACATTCGATATAGGGTAATCGTGACAGTCTTGGATAAATCTTAACAACAGACCACAGTAAATGCAAAGAAAGTATGGGGAATAAGATGAAATCACATAATTAGTCTCTGAAAAATACTCATTGTTAATATTCAAGTTTTTTGATGCGCAAAAACGACACAAAATTTGGTTTGTTGATTCTTTCTTGACAAAAACTGCCGCTTGTTTCCTTGATACCCACTGCGGTGAACTCAACAAAGCCATATAGTAACACATATCACACACCCTTGCTCTTTGTTTCCTCCATGTGAGTTGCCGCCCGGGCAACTTCCCGGGCCAGCTATAATCCGCCCTGATATCAACTGCCAGCCCAGCATGTTTGTTGTAGCCCTAGCTGTATCAGGCGTTACCTGAGAAACTTGGTCTTTCACGATAGTACAATCCGCCTGAAGATCTTAGATATAGCTGCTACCAGATGGAATATAGTCGAGTGTTCGATTGCTTGCTTGGCGGCATCGTTGCCTTGTTCGTACTTGGTTTCACGGTTTGAAAACTCTGAGCTGAACTTCAACTCAAACTATGGAGAACCTATTCTGCAACCGGCTGGAGGTATTGAAGAAGTTGGTATCTGCTCTGCAGGGGTATATGGGCTGTTATTCGACTCGGGACTGTTTGATTCCACCGGCGCTTCTTCGTCCCTGGCGTCGACTTGGCGTTTCCGGTGATGGGACGCTCGCTTCAAATATCGGAATTGGGACGGAGGAAATATCCTGTGTACCTAGAGGGATGACGAGATATTAGCCAATGTCTGGGCGACTAGTAGATCGAGCCTCACTTATCCTCACTCTCCTGTAAACGTCCCAACTGCCAATCCATCTGGAACTAAAGTGCTCCATACGAGGAGTGGGTGCAGAAAGAACGGAAGAGCCTTGGCTATCGTTCAGTTAATCTTGTTGTTTGTGCAGGCGGCTAGCTGATAGTGCAAGCGCAAGATGGCTAGCTTCCTGGAACGCAGCCAGACGAAAGAAGCAATAGATTGAAAGTTCGTCATCTTGTTAAACAGAACTTTCACATATCCGTATAAATACCGTGAGAAGTGATAAAGCCGGACCGAGTCATCTGAATCACGGACGATTGTTAGTCAGAGAAGGAAAGGGGGCAGTCGTTATTTCCTAGTAAGTAAAGCAGGATGTGACTGCTTTGGATCCGGACGCTGAACAGACTTGTAAAGTAATCATCCTTGATTATCATATGCCTTCCCTGTCACCTTGTGGTAACCAAAGCTTTATCTCTCTGTCCTTTCTATACTCATACATTTCCTGATATTCGTTTCATTCCATTGATCAAATCCCCTAGTTCTTCTTCGCGAGAGCAGCGTCAACCTGCCTGGCCGCATCAATACTTTCGCCCAGAATCGTCTTCTCCTTATCAGTCAATCTGTGAGCCGTAGCATTACTCATGCAGCTCAAGTCTTTTCTGGTGGCCCCTTTTTCCCACACCCCGTCCATCATCCAGTAGCTCGGCAGCCGGTAATTGTCGAGACTCGCTCTCTTGTTCTCTAGCAAACCACCGTTGTACCATATTAGCCGGTCCTTGGCGTCAAGGTGTGCAATGCCGAAGGAGCACACCATGGTGACTTCGTGCACGCGTGGAGAGTCACCCCATCCTATGACGGACCCATAGTGTGCTTCGAATTCATACGGCGCCCCTGAAAGCTCGAAGCCCAACCACCAGGACTCCTTGTCGCCATGACCAAGCTTGTACGTAACTTCTTCTCGGACAGCAAGAGAGTTTTGCCAGGCGACGTGGAGTAACCCGGTAAAGATAGAAATTTTAGATTTGTCGACAACTACGACACCCGAGTCGCACTCTTCCGAATACCTCTCTAGCCATACCTGGGACTTCTTGAGCTCGGCCGACGGCTCCTTAATTTGATCCTTCCACCAAGTGTGCCGTTCGGGGAACTGGAATCTCCAGAGCAAACGGTCATGGAACAAGTATGCGCCTTTGTTGACGTAAGGTGCCTGATCAAATAGTTTTTCAGGTTTCTGTAGGAAGACAGCATCGGCATCGATGAGGATAGCCTGTTCAAACTTGGATGCAAGTAGTGCAAAAGGCTTGATAGCCCAGCCGGCACCCTGAAGCTTAAGTGTCGTATCGTCGAAGACACTGAGAACGTTGAGAAATTCCATGTCCGTTGCGCCCTTCAGAGATTGAATTCTGACGCGGTCTCGAGGGGATAGATCTTCGTCGCCGGCATACGCAATCTGAATAGGGAGCTTTGAATGAAGCACCTGTCGGAGTGAAACTATCAAGTGGCTTGCGAATCGGACGGATTCCTCGCCTCCGCCAACAGGGATAATGATGCCCCGTAATCCTCGTTTGTATGATTTTCTTAGATCGGCGAGTGGAGTGGCAGACTCAGGATCTAGATCAGAATTCTGGATGAAAGGAAAGAGGTCCTGGGAAACCGTTTCAGTAGCGATAGAGATGTCTTTGCTTTGCCTGGATTTCGGAGGCAGGGCATCCAAAGCGCCTAGCCATCGCCCGATCTGCTTAGATCGCTGACCAACCTCCCAAAACTTGTTCTTGTAGGGAGACTCGATGGGGTTGTTGAGGAGAAACTTGGTTGTCTTGACGGTGTTCATCTGGTTGCCGGGAGGAAGGATACTGATACTCTGCGAGTGACCAGACCAATCCATGTTGAGTATGAGCAAAAGGGAAAGTGAAAGCAAAACAGATAGTGCAGCCAAACGTTTGGGGATCCGACGCGGATTACGGATGTAATAACCGCACTTGTCCACAAGAGATACTATGATGAATGAATGAATCAAAGAATGTGGATAGTACTGTTATTGTTGATGTTTTTGAAAGACGCAGCGCGTCTGGATTAATGAGTGTGTGAGCAATGATTTGGTGTTTCGTATTCTAGTGGATAGGTGAAGATGTAGTAGTACAGGAAGAGTCCGATCCAGCTCCACTGTTCAGGTCCTGGTTTGTTCTTAGTGGAAGCCTAGAGTTAAACGCTCACTTGACTTTGTCACTCCTACGTTGCTTGGTTCCATGCTACGATCCATGCTCTGCACTGACCATCCGAGTTACCCGCCATCTTACCTTTTATTTTATATATGCCTTACAAGTCCAATTGCAGTCAACTTCTCAAACTAAACAGCGGCAATACTCAATACTCAATACTCAACGACATATGCTCAAAAGGGATGTTTGTCCTATACAAAAAAATATGATTGAACAAACAAAGCTAATGCAAGAAAAAATAGATATCTATCAGTAACAAACACTCATCAGCTGTATACAACAGTCGCGTCTGCCTCCATCCTCTTTAGTGCACTCCGAGCTACCAAGCCTTCCCCGCCAAGCCCTAGATAAACGCTACTCAACTGAAAAGAATTATCCTGTAGTCGACAATCTTACTGTTAAGGCTTCTGCATCATGGCCAGTTCTCTCTACTCCAATAATGCCAGAAATCTGTGATAGATTCGACCTAGGCTCTCCCCATTGCCCCAACTGACCACCTATCTGCGCCAAAGCGCCTGCGTCAAGGGTGTCGGTCTATGTAGGGGCTCCAAAGATGAACCGCATCAGGAAAGAAAGCCCTATAACCTGCAGGCCGAGAAATACACTGATAACTATCACTGCACTTAGATTTCGCTTTAGTTTCGTAATTATAGTTCCTAGATGGAAGTATGTAGGCCGACTCGATTTAATATCCCAGAACTAGTCAGGAGGGCTCCATTCGCGAAAAACATAGCCATTTCCAACCGCTTAGCTGTCCACTCTTCATTGTTAAATCTCAGGAAGTATTCGGCCATAAGCATCTCTATAGCTGTTATCCAGGTTTATTTGCTCTGACGTCACTCAGATAGTAGTTTTGGACTGCAATGATCAGCTATATTAAGGGCAAAATCATTCTCGAAGTACGGAATAGCGGACTCGCTGCATATATAATTTATAGCCTGCGCATAGGAGTCCTCATCAGCCAAACCAGCTGTATAAAAGGGTGTCCCATTTCCGACCCATGCCAAAGCCGCTGTCATAAGGAGTCCTGGTGTTGACAGCCAACGAGAACCAAATGCGTCACTGTGTCAGATTGAGAAGCCGTCTCTCAAATCCCATACCTGCGGCTCATGGCTATTAATAGAGTGAGTTTGAATACGCAAGCGTTGATAGACTAGGATAAACCATATCGGGCTGAAACGTACTTTGTTGGGTATGTGTCCTTATCGGAGTATGGTATTATCCAGATATCGTTATAGTCGTCCATGGTTTCATCCTGTGAAGGCTACTTGTCCAGGAGAGGTCCAGCATTGAATCCGTTGATATTAATGGGGAGCTCAAACAATCCTCTTCTTGATTCGCTTTCATATTTCAGCACGTAATTAAACTCGCTAGTTTGTCTCGGAAACCCCACTCGATCTGATTCATCCGACTCGTCGTCGTCGTCGTTCTAAGTCCAGGCTAGCCATTTTCTTTCTGAATGCTCTTGCTTGTCTCGAATCTTGCTCCATGGTGCAGCATCGTAACTTCCTTCAACGGAAATGTTAGTTTTCGGAGTTCAAACAGAGAGAGATGTCTGAAACGGTCTCTCACCTTTTCAGCTTTTTGAGAAACTCTTTTCTTTTGAACAGTTTGCTGTAAAATCCATTCTCACGGCGTGATAGCAATGAATTCCAGTTTAAGTGCCATTCGCAACGGACGAAACAAAGTAGCATTCCTGAAGACTGTTGCCCCGATAGTGCTGGGAGAGAGAATAGTTTTGGGCTCTCTCTTCGTACTTTGGAGACTGACTATCACCCCATAAGTGTTTTTGAGAGTCATCTTTCCAATATTTATGGCCCTAAATTTGTAATTTGTCTTTTGTACCACCAAGTTGTGCGGGCAGATATCCAACACTGCAGGATCAGGATTCCGAGCGATGACTTGAATGTTCCTGTCGTTGTAGTTGACGTCACTAGTGCAGCCCTTGTTGTCTTGAAAGAAATTTCGGGGATGGCCTTCACATGTCACAACTCTTATGTTCTCATACCGAACTAAGATGGTGTGTATAAGTGGTTGGATGGCAGCTTAATAACCGAGTCAGCATGAGGTATTATAAAACGTTTAACGCAAGAGAGAGATTTGGACTCACTGATCAGCATCAGTACGCCCGCTAGGAAGACATAGGACGAAGGGTATTTGAAGGGGTTTCTTGCACAAAAAGAAGGTAGGGTTGAGCCACTCTCTATCCGCTAATGCAGAGAGCTGCACAACGCTGAGCTTCTGTCCCGGGCTGCGACGCTGACAATACACCACTGCTCCGTAGGCTAGGAGACACGAAACAACTGGCAAACTGATAACCCCTGAAATAATGTTGATTGCTATCAGGGTGGATAGTGAATTCTCCAATCGAACGATTTCAGGAGGGCCTACTGAACCTGATTGATCAATGTATGACTGCCTGGTCAAGGGCTTGTTCATCCAGATACGGGTCAAGGCTCATGGAACGACAAAGGTGGTAATATAGGGAAAGAAGATGAAGAGTGGACGAAGACAAGTTTTGAGGATGTTAGATCACTTGGACAAGGATGTTGACTGGTACAGTCGATGAGGGTTGTCGTCGTTGTTGGTGACAGTCCGTATAGACTGGAGTTCAAAGTCGGTTGGCCCTATGATGAAATAAGGGTCCTGGTCCAAGGCTTAAAGCTGAATACATGGCAGTGATGGATCAGTTTTATGTAAAAGAGGGTCCTGATTTGCTAAGACTCTTGTCGATGCTGCCCTGCCTTGATGCTTGGCTGTGCGCCTGATGCTTGGCTGTGCACCTGATGCTTGGCTGTCGGTAAAGCAGAACGTTTGGAGCTGCTTGGCAGTATTTTTGATTCAACTTTGGACAGCCGAGACTCGTCAATTTGGCCACTTCCATAAATGTTTGATTCGTTAGTGGGGGTAAATTGCAGTTTCGCCCCAATTGTGAATTGTTACTAGGTAGCAAAAACGTCAGCCTTCATGTTTCAGGGTACAAACATAAACAATCCAATAAAATAGCATAAATTGGCCTCCTGGCTTGGGCTCTTCTGCTTACAGCGGCCAGCTCTTCTGATATTAGAAGGCTTGGGATGTGGTTGTAACCATGATGCTAGTTTCGATTTTGATTCCACTGGAAGCCCCTGGTCGACAACAGCAGGGCCTTTTGGCAGATAACGCCATCCATATGGAAATGTTGATGAGATGACGATCAAGGAATGCTTGCCTGCTTCGAGGGGGGTTCTGTTTCGTTTGTATATAGCGTGGTGGCAACTGGTTCCTGGGCAAATTGGTATCTGTTTGCCCTTTATGTTAATATTCGATTTTCCTGTTTGCTACTTAAATACCCAATAGATCTTACCGCCAACAAGGCAGCAAATGCGAGTAAAGAGACTACAAAGTAGTCTCGGAAAGCATACGTATAGTGCCATAATTGGCTCCGACTTTAATCCAACCAAAGAAATGTTAGTGTCTGTATTACTGGACGGCAGCAAGATAAATTCAAACTTACCAAGCTATACGAGCAAGGCATGTGAAGCCATCACAAAGTTTAGTATTCAAGCATACAAGCAGAGACCTTTATCTCTATACAGTTTATCACACATTTTTTGAATACTCCGTTGAGATATCTGGGGCCTAGTAATAGATATATGGAAAGAAGAACTACACTATTCAACAATGTTTGATGCCTGCCTACTAAGGTAGATCTAGTAGTAGAAGGTACGAAAGTAGCTTTTTCTCAAGTATGTGCGGATTCATCTTTCCACATTGAATCGATTCAGCCTTTCGCCTTCCTTTCCCACTGCGAGATCATAAAAGCAACCTATGCACGTATTGCTGCGCCTCTGACTCCCGCATCAAGACACACTTACAAACTATCAATTGACCAGTCTCCATATTCACTTCAAGACATTTTTTGGCTAACATTGGCAACACAGCTTATCCTTGTATCAAACCAATCAGCATCTGACTTTTCAACCACCCACGTCAGTGGGCCAATCTCTATTAGACGAGTTTCAGTCTCGGCTACGCCCATTTCGTGTCTAGTCCGATGCTGATCAACGACACGACACCAACCCCCATAATAACCACAACCTCAGTCCTGCACCAGCCAGGCCAAATCTACTCCAGCGACGTTTCAATGCGTTGTCGACCCCCGAAATTACGATGCCATCGCTAGGCACAATCACTTGGAGAATACTAGCATTCTCTTCACTCTTTATACAAGTCCGCGCTCAGTCCTCCGATCCCAATAACACCGCCCTTAGTCCAGTTGACTCCATCTTGACAGTCTCGTCCTGCGACGCCCGGACTATCAACTACATCACTCACACCCTTCCCCAATCGTGCCTCACAAGCTCTTGGACAAGCTCGACTTCCACTTCCACTCCTTCACTCTCCAATTCGACTAGCGATACCTCTTCTAAGCCGACACAGAGCAATCCTGCACCCTCCACCGTACTAAGCGAGCCCCAATCCCAACAACCCTCGTCCACCGCTATTCCCCCCAAAGACGAATCGCAAGATGCAGCTGGAGATGGAGCTGAGAAACCATTCATGTCCTTCGAGGACTGGAAAGAGATGATGCTACGCAAGACAGGTCAGGACCCTCAAGACCTTCACTCCAGAAACACAAAGCCCCGCGACAGGACACCACCAGACATGGGCCACGCCGGCCTCGGCGAGGAAGACGAGATATCATTGAACTTTGACAGTTATCTGGATAACGCCGGAAAGCAAAAGGAGCCTCCTTCCGATGTCGATCAAGTTCAAGGCGATGGATCAGGCAAGGCAATCGTTTATGAGGATGGTCGCGCATCGATCCATAGGAGTAAAGATGCTGGCAAGACGTGCAAGGAACGATTTTCTTATTCGTCTTTCGACGCTGGCGCCACAATTCTCAAGACAAGCTCTGGCGCAAAGAACGCCAAGGCCATTCTTGTTGAGAACAAAGACTCTTATATGCTTCTCGAGTGCTCTGCCAAGAGCAAATTCGTCATCGTTGAATTAAGTGATGATGTCCTCATCGACACTGTCGTTCTCGCAAACTTCGAGTTCTTCTCCAGCATGTTCCGCCACTTTACTGTCAGCGTTAGTGACCGGTATCCAGTCAAAACGGACAAGTGGAAAGAGATTGGATTGTTTGAGGCACGAAACTCGCGTGATATCCAGCCTTTTCTGGTCCAGAATCCTCAGATCTTCTCAAAGTACGTCCGCATCGAGTTCCTTACCCATTGGGGAAAAGAGTTCTATTGTCCGGTATCCTTACTTCGAATTCATGGTTCACGCATGCTCGATTCGTGGAAAGAAGCTGACCAAGCTCGTGATGACGATTCGAGCCCCGAAGAAGAGGCCGAACCGACCCAGCAGTCTCTGCCTCCAGGGGAAGAAGCGCCGAAGATACAAGCAGTCGAGCCAACCCCTGAGCCTGTCAAGACCACCTTGGTCGAGGAAATACCTTGTTGTGAAATCAATGCAACTTCGCATATCTTTATGGTGCCACTGTTCTGCCCCGTCTCACTCAACCACACGACTTACACGATATCGAACAAGAACAGCTCTGTCGAAGTAACGAGTGCTGCCTCCGCCCTCAATTCTTCTGAAGACAGAGAACAGAAAGGCCACTCAACTCAACACATCCCTAGAGCAGAGCGCCCGGCAAGTGATGAGCCCACATCCTCTGTGTTCTCCAAGACAGTTTCCCCAAGCGCCACACCCGCCGTCTCACCCACTAGTCCCTCCTCCGTATCATCTTCCAACATCGAATCAGTTTCAAACTTTACTTCTCAAACACAAAGCTCCAAGATAGCTTCAACACCCTCCGCTGCGACAGCCCCATCCGTTGCAAAGCCTTCACCTGCCAATACTGTTAATGCCAAAAAGGGCACGACGGGCACAGCTTCTGGCTCGCCGGCCTCGCCAACAGTGCAAGAAGGTTTCTTCAAAGCCATATCCAAACGTCTCATCGCAGTTGAGACTAACCTCACTCTCTCCCTGAAATACGTGGAAGACCAGGCTCGCCACATGTCTGAGACTTTGCAACGAACAGAGCAGAAACAAATTTCGAAAGCAAACTTGTTCTTCGAGGAACTCAACCGTACTGTCGTTGCCGAGCTGCGCTCCGCCCGTGAGCAGTACGAACAGATATGGCAGTCGACTGTGATCGCACTCGAAAGCCAGCGCGAGCAGTCCAACCGAGAGATAGTGGCGCTCAGCAGTCGTCTCAACCTTCTTGCCGATGAGGTCGTCTTCCAGAAGCGCATGGCTATCGTGCAAGCAGTCCTCCTCCTGTCATGCCTCCTTCTCGTCATCTTCTCCAGAGGTGGATCACTACCTTACCTCGGGCCCCTCGTAGATCAAGCCAATATTGCTCAATACGATACTGGATCGCCTGCAGCTCGTCTTCGGGCATTGTACGGGGACGTCTATGGCGCAGATGGACAGAACGCAGCTATACTCGCTGCCCGTCAGAGAGTGTTTGTGCCTGTGACTGAGGCAGAAGAGCATAATGATTCAGCAGAGCTTCGACAACGCGCTTCTTTGGTTGACGAGATGCGTAACGAGCGGGCCGAGCGTGAGCAACTTTCACCACCTCAAACACCAAGATCTGCCGACGGTTTCTCTTCTTCATCAGATCTCTCACCACCCCCTCGAGAAACGCAATCAAGTATTCTACGCCATGCTCCTGCGATTCACTCAGGTAATTCGCGTAAGCCCTTGCCGGCTTTACCTGAGAACCCTGCGTCGCCGTAACTAGAAGTAGTTGAAGGTTTAGTTAGAGTTATATCAGATCAAAATTACTAGAGACAATAGTCAAACCTGCGCAGTCACTGTATCATAACATATTACCTCTTGCATGTGATCCCTCAAATGTATGCACATGTAGTTATCACAGGGCGATGGGACAGTTTCTATGATGAATCTAGTGATTGCATGTATCTACCTGAGTTATATCTGGTATAGCTGGGACTATTCATCGGTCCAACTCGAGATACTGCAAATTCAAGACCTTGACATTCGCAAAAGGTCGTCCGAAAATTGACACGCGCACATAGCGCCAAAGTGTCGCAACATTACCAACCACCAAATCTCAAACCTCAAACCTCAAGATGACTTCAGAAAAATATCAAGATGGCTGTAGGGTCTAACGCTTAGTAGCGTGAGTGGCGACTGAGCACAATAGACTGCTCATAGTTGGCTTCCTCAAGGGCAGCCAGACGGGTACCGCGGTCGAACTGACTGTGGCGGTGACGTTGGGCCTCACGGAAGTGATGGCCCGCAGTGGGGGTGAATAGGCCTGAGAATAGATGGTTAGTTTGCAAATGCTGGACAAGCACACGAATAGAAGAGGCACATACCGACATGTTCCGCATTTTCGACCGACCGCTTCATCTTCGACTGGTTGTCAGGACCAGGGAACGGTTCTTCTCGGCCAGCCATGCCAGGATCCTCTGAGTGGATCGTGTAAAATAACTATATAGGTTAGTTGATGATGTATGGTATGTGGTTTGATGATGTACTGACCTTGGGCCGGTAGTGCTCGGCTTCAAGCATCACAGAAGAGTTGCGGAACTTCTGGACGAGGCAGTCCTTGCCCTGGATGGCTGTTGAAGGTTAGCGTAGGTTAATGAGTTCAGGATAGAGTACTACTTACTGGCATAGGAGACTTCGGCGACCTTGTCGGAACGGAAGCAGTTCCTGTGAATGTCAGTCAAGAAACAGCAAGATGACATGTCGTGCCTTGCTTACCAGCGCTTGTTGGCGCGTGCCTGGACGAACTATTAACGGTTAGTATCATAAAGTAGACTTAGAAGAGTGAGAACTTACATCGACAATATACTCTGCCTTAACGAAATTGATAAAGGCATAGCCAACACTATATGATGGTTAGCCAAGACCTTATGAGTGATTGGTGAATGTACTTACTTGCAGTCGTTGGCAAAGTCAATGCGAAGGTACATAAAGTCGTACTTCCCGTAGGAGGAAGCATCAACAATACGCTTCAGGAGCGGCTGATCAACCTTGTTCGGAATGTTTCGGAGCATGATCTGTTACATGTTAGACGACACGACAATTGAAATTTGAAAGTGATAATTGACTTGCAGTAGTGCGCACGTCTCGTCCTGCCATGAGGTCGTAGATATCGACGATGTTGTTGTTGCGCTGTGGTTGGCTACGCTGGCCGAAGCGGGGGCCGCGACGTTGAACCATGCTGCCGTAGTTCACAAAAGAATGACCAGCATTGTAGCTAGGGCCTCGTGAGTGAATGAGCGTCGCAGCCGGGGTTGGAGGGCAGAAGGGCCGGTACGTAGGCCCACCAGAGAACTGGTACGCAATGGGAGCCCATGGGTTACCCTCGGGAGCACGAGGAGCAAGCAGGCTCATACTGTTGACAGGATAGCGGCGAGCGCCAGAGACTGCCAAGCCATCCATGCCGCCGATAATGCCATCCATGCCAGGGAAGGCATCCGCCGGGCGGATGAGAAAGATCATGAGACCCTGTTTGAGTTAGATATCATGAGATGGTTGGATGTACGAATAGAAAAGAAAGACACTTACCTCTGCAGCGATCTGGCGAGTGTTCTGAAAGGCCCAGGTGGCCTTGGCAGCCTTGCAAAACTGAACGACACCATGGAAGCCTCCGTTGGGAAAGCTGGTCGTTCGCACCAAGGCGAATAGGGATCCGAAATTGCAGAGTTTACGCTGCACAATCTCTTCGACGTAGATAGGGTCAGCTACAGCGTAGTCAAGCATTTCGATCGAAACGTTGAGCTGTCTAAGCTCTCCGAGTCGAACGTCACCGCGGTCAAGCTTTCATAGTTAGCAACATGAGGCATGAGATAACGAGTGAACAAAGACGTTGACTTACTCGCTCTTGCTTAACTTTGACATAAGAAGGTAGCCAGGTTTTTTCGGACTTGCGGACAGCATCATGGAAATTGATGATACCGCGGAGGTCCTCGAAGCAAACGTACACGTGAGACCCGTCGGTCTCAACGTGACGCGCACCGAAGAACGTCATTCCTCGGGATTGAAGATCCTGGTTATACGTTAGAATAGACTCGAGATGTAGTTGGTATAGGTGGAAATACTGACCTCCATAAACGCCTGTACCTCCTCAATGTCAGGAGTAGGCGTGTCACAAAGCTCGAGACGGTGCGAGATGTCCATCTCGTGGGACAGAGCAGAAGCGATGACGAGTCCTCCTTCAGGAAGCAGAACAGCAGCCGACTTGCCCTTGGTGGGCTTGAATGAAGAAGCGGTGGCAGAGAGTCGTCCAGAGTTGGACGCGTCAACGAAAGGATCGTTCTCGATTCTTTGAGTTCGATCAGTGCCCTCGTAGACATCGTGGGGAGCCATAGCTCCGGTGCTGTAGTTGCCGCCGTGGTGGTAAGTCACAGTGTTCTCACCAGGGGAGAACATGGTGAGACGAGTGTCAGGAGTTCCTTGGTAGGATTCCATCACACCGTCGGGGGGAGATGACATTGTCTTGGGGCCACCGGGACGCGAAGCCATGGTGCGTGGTGATGACAAAGGGGAGTGCAAAATAGATTGTAGGAGATGACAAAGTAGAGGAATAATTCAATGAGAGAACCAAACTGAAAGAAACCAAAGTGGCTGCTCTACAGTAATCGGCTCTGATGTTGATGTTGGATGGAGAGGAAAGGAAGGGGAAGGCAGAGGGGAAGGCAGAGGGGAAGGAAGGTGGGAAATACTTGGGGGACTCGAGGGTGTGGGGCTGCGGGAAGATCAAGCCCTGCGACGCGAGGGGGATTTGCTTGGGAAGGAGCGAACTAACTGCCTACCTGCAAGATCAGAGGGTACTTGGACTCAGTAGGACCAGTTACAGGGACATGGTAGGGGAACGTTGACGGATAACAGGGACATGGGAAAGAGGAATCAAGTATAACCACGACCAGCTCAAGGTTTATATCCCCTATTATAATCGTCTGAGCCTCTACTAGATTTGGTATAATTGCATCGTCCTCAGTGAGCTGTTGGTCTCGATCTCTGGCTGCCCAGTCAACCGCTCTGCAACTCTCCTGGACTTGTAGAGGAACTCGTGCATATCTAATTTTGATTTGATTTAAATTTGTATTTGTGCGTTTGCTGTTCTGTGATTTCGTTTATGTGAGTTGAGTTCGTGACCGTGGCTCCTGTTGACGAGAGCTGCCTAGCTGTTGCAGCCACTGATACGTTGTTTGATATTCCCCCCACCACACCTCTCTTTGGTGACTATTCAGACAGTCCAGAGCCTCCTCTGTGATCCTGTCTTTGCATTGATATTAGTATATCCGTAGAGTTGAAGCATTTCGTGATCTAGTGTAGTGTATACTTGCAGGCATGCACCCATGTCACTCGATGATATTTCTTTCAAATCACATGCACATTGTATATATTGTATTGAAAGGCCTTTTGTCGTATTTTAATTATGTTATATGCGTTTCATATCTTTTCAATGTCATGTATTGAAGTTGTTGTGACTTTATGTCCCACGGTTGGGCGAGGGGATTCACAAGGCTCAACCCCTGAAATTAGTGACCATCCTTCCCACCCCACTACGAATGGACATTCTATACGCCATACTCAGTGGAATTACTTTGTGCTATCCAGACTGTATATCTAAAACATTCACTTGGTGTTTGTCAAAGTAAATACGTCCTTTGCTTCCAGTCACAATGTTTGTTCAAGTGTTGGCCTCGCCAATGTACTGCTGTCAGTACCTATGTACCTATCTAGGTACGTAGATATTATTTGATACTCACGACGATTTTCTTAGGTATTCAACCATCGCAAATAGATTCAAGCATGTTTTCCATGTGGGAATATGACCCACTAGTGTTTAGGCCACAATGTGTCGTGTCAACGGTTTCCATCCTGCCTTCCACGTTTCCAACATCCGATTCCAAAAAGGAACAACACGCAGACCTCGTGGCACGCATTTTTTAAGTTCTCCAAGTCAAATCAGTGTTCATATGGTTCTTTTCATACTTACACTACTCTCAGAAGCATACCTACCTCCTACAGACAATATTAGTGTCTCTCCTGATGTACAAACCGACAGCGAAAACGAAGCGCAGGAATTTGGTTGGGATCACAACGACAGGAATATCCCCAACACATGACAAGAGGATCATACTCTATCTTCCATGATCGGAGTCACCTTGGACTAAACTATACTCAAGGCCTTAGGACAGGCTTAGGCGGACACACCAAGGCGGCAGTGCTCGATCAGAGCAGGATGACATTGCGGCGGACTCTCCAATACCCAAGGGCAAGTCTTATTGATATTTCTATAAGCTATCGTCTCTTGAAGTATATGAACACTTGTTCATACACCCCTGAGCTTTCTACCTTGCAAGTGTCATGATCCTACCTATCTCAGTCCAGCTCTAAGGTTCGTACTTGATTCTAACAAGACACACATTACCTTACAAGTCTAATACCATGGTTTTTTCTTGTATCTAGAACTATTATATTTCTATTTCCTTGTTATTTGATCACTGGATCCCTTTTCTTCGCCTCCTTGCCTCCAAAAGTGATCCCACAACACCTACCCGGAGACGAAACAAAGAAGGCCGCCGCGAGACCTTAGAGCCACAATCTTGAGAAATTCATACCAAAAAGCCCATTCCTATGATCTCTGAGCTCGATTGTTTATACCCCCAGAGTATTGAGCTTCATTCGCCCATAATGCTGGGAAACAGTGTCAGAAACAGCGAACGAAAGAGGGTAACTTCAAAACCTGAAACTTCGAGTTGGACCACATTACACCGCAACCTCTCATTCTATATTGAACTATATATAGTGAGTTTTGAAAGGTACGAGTAAATAACGAAAACTCGAAGATGGATTCTCCACTGACCTGGCGCGCAGGTTGCTGGGTTCAGGAGTCACGCAATGAACTTCAGAGTCAGGGAGTTGACTATACAAAGCCAATTTCTTTTGTTTATTCCCCTGTCTATTTCTCTACTTTTCCATACGTCCATTGAATCGATTGCTATTAGCTGAAGTTTTTCTGATTCTCCAAGGCCGTCTAAGAGACGTGATACTAAGTTCTCCAAGCCTGACACCGGCTCTAGGTCCAGGACTATGAGACTGGCGGTATTACGATTTTTCTTCTCTCCAGTATGTCTGTTCTACTTCACGAATGGCTCTTTATATTACGAGACTTCCCACTGACAGGTTGCTATGACTGCAGGACCTCACTTGTATTCCAGCTCTCAGGGGGTCGGATACCCCGTTGCGTACATCTCACGGATGACTCTGATGACTCTTACGGATTACTGCCGATACCTTCAATCTCTTCTTCTAACCTTCCACCAGTGTTTTATTTGTATGATTGTTAAAATAAAGACAATGCAGTGCTCGAGTGTTCTCTCAAAGAAAGGATGACTTTGATAACCAAGGTCTGAGATTGAACAAGGAACCTTCTCTAAGGCTTTCCACGAGCGAACCCCCAGAAATCAAGACTTCTAAGGACGAGGATTACTTTGACTGGATTACGCAGTTGTCTGTACGGGAAATAAGTATTTGGGGAAAGGAGTCAAAGGACGAAATGGTGGCTACGTAACTTCTTCTACTATTACCTCTTCCATGTCACTATCTTTCTATATCTAACCATTTGACTATCCGTATACATGTTTCTATCTTCCCGTCCGTTTCCTGAACCAGTGTCCGAAAGTGATAGTCTTAAACCCATGACCCCCTTTTCCGGCCACCGATGCGGCCAAGAACAAACCACTGAGAGTCTTGCTCAGTTCTTCCTTGTTAATATTGTATGTTTAAAGAGTCGGGTAATTGGTTTTATTGTAATTTTGTATAGTTCGGTAACCGATATCGAGTGGTAGAACCTTCTAATTGCAACAAGTATTAGCTATCGTAATTCTTGGGCCCACTACAACAGAACTTACCATACGATCCTTCCCTTCTTTTAACTGGCCTCCTCGTGTGTGATAATCTTTTATCCATCTGCTTCAGTCCTTATCCCTTCGGGGCTCGTTTCGTGGATGTTGAACGTGAGTCCCCCAGAATTGTAGTTGGAGGAAGAGAGTACTAAAGGGGGGAAACCCAACATAGTTTCGGCGATGTACTTTGGGTAGACCGTTGTGATACCAGATAACCAGTCGTGATCTTCTCTATTGTAGCTGGTCTTCAAGAAATCTAAAGTTAATCTTGAAAGGACAACAGCCACTCATGTTGGCGAAAGGGCCAGGTTCTTTCCAGGCGTGTCGGGTTCCTTCTGATCGGAACAAGTTTCAAGGCTTGACAATGAAACTAAATAGATTGTGTGCTATCTAATTAAAGTTCACTCGTCGTTTAAAGCTCTGCTTAGAGAATCAGACGCCAGCTCAAAGATCTTTTCGAAGACATGTTGAAAGCCATCTCAACGTACCGATTCTTTCCTATACAGACCGGAGGCTCTCCTTAACTTTACAAACACCATTGTATACTCAAGAATTTCTTACAATGAAGTATCGTCTGAGTCCATCCTGTTCCCGGCCACTTCGCTCAAATGTACTGTTTGGCGGCGATTGATCTATTTAAGGCCGCCGATCGCTACAGCCTTTCGATTCGGGCATCTTCCTGTGAAATTCAAGTTACCCATTGTCTTTATGGTATCGCTTCTCCTGTATGAGGTTGAAGTACTTGCCAATCCCGTTGCGGTGTGGTCGGAGCAGTGGTTTTGAGCATAGGACAGAGGGTCGGTTTCAAGGTTAGCCGCAACATGACCCCTGAACCCACCCGCTAGATTGAAACTCGCCCAAGCTATGGTATCTATTCTCAGTATCTTGGTCGGTCTGAGCTACAATTTGCCTTATGTGTCGTTGAATAGAGCCATCGATTCCGAAACAGCTTGGAAGGGGGTTGAGGTCAGGACCCTACGAGACATCGAGTTTCTGAGTAGTTAGCTCCTACATCTCTCTGTAACAAGCACTAAATACCTCTATAGAGTTGCTGATTTAGCCAGAGACTTTCGAGCCGTAGAAGTTGATCTGGGTGGCGTAGATGAGCAACATAGGGTGTTCTCCTGCTTTGGCCGCCATTGGCTGTAGTGCATTGGTTTAACAAATAGTTACTTTCGGTGCACTATTATCATTTAATATAGTACTTCAGCTAGGTCTTCTTTCTTTTCTGGCTGAGAAAGCTCGTGCCTGGATTTGGAGTTCGTGATTGGCGTTCTCATAGCTCTGTACTCCGATTCTTCGTCCCAGATCATGCTTTCAACACAGAGACCAAATGGTTCTTCTTCGGTCCTCTTTATTTGCCATCGCTTGAACAGATAGGTAATTACGCGGGCTTGCCGGATGATTCGGAGCGTATCTTGGTCTTGATGGAGACAGTTCTAGGGAAACAGTCGTTAGCCATAGTATTACAGACGGAATGGATCAAGGGAAATGGCTCTTTCGGCCCAAGATGAACCTGTTTGATTATCATTGGGTGATAATACTTAGACGCTTGTAAGTTACCTATTATCGTGACAAATAACCACGTTTGGTGGTCAAGAAGAGAAATGCTTTCAAGATCGATTCGTGTCTGACAGCGAATACATCGATTACAAAGACACAAAATCCGCCCAAGTTCCAATTGCTTTGGTGGGGTGTCACAGGGCCTCAGTCAACCGCTTTGCAGTACCATGCGCTGCAGGCACCCGACCACCCCAATCCCTTCAATATTATGTTTTTTCTTCTACCAAAAGTAATGTTTTCCTCATCTCGACATTTTGTTTGCTTTCTTCGCATCACGCCGCTAGAAATCTAGTCAGTTTACTGACCTCTTTAAGGGGTACTTCCAAAAGTGTCGCCCCTAATGGAAGATCTTAGGTATGTTCCTTTGCCGCAATCACGACATATAACTGACAGCTAAGACCAGGATCTCCCTTCACTTAGCTTTCCTCTGCTAGATCTTCAGTTCTATCGAGAAATCAGATTACAGGCAGGAACTCGACGATCTATACCACGTCTCTAGCTAGAACTGGAAGCGACCCGCGAATACCTTGCTACATATGCTATTGCAAAGTCGTTTGTCGAGCCAGCCGTGTTTCACTAGGATATCGGCCAGTCTCCAACACGAAGTTGACAACACGAGTGCCCTGCTCGAACCCACGTATGAGCCCTGGCAGTTCAGGTTGGGTCTTGTGGCAGAACCTAGTCCAACTACGGACCCTCATGGTTCTATCATATAGACATTGTTCCCGCTACTATCTCACAAATACAATGAGCTTATTTGGTAAGTTCTTCAGATGAGCCATATCTAGTTTTGCTCAGTGCCTAACTGTTCATACCAGAGACTCTTGCACGATTCTTCAGTTTACCGCTCGAATACCACAATAACATGCATCAAACCTACGTAGGATTCTATCCCTTGAATGTGAAAGTTGCTGACCATTGGCGGGATATAGCTTTCGCGACTCCCCCCTTTTGAGTTTCCTAGCGTCAGATATACCCGCCTTTCTTGCTTTTCCATGACAGCATTGGAACATTTCCTGCGACGCTTTACATCGCAAATACTACAGTCTACCATATAGTTCTATCCAATGGCAACCTGTCCTTTTTCTAGTGTCGTTTTGGCCTAGGTCGGCATAGCAATATATTATTCAAACAGCATAAATACAATCAAGGATACCATATTTGAAGATACACAGAGAGCATCTTCTATTGCATCGTCCGTCTATGATCGTTAAGTATTCATAGTGATTCATAGTTTCAACACCTCTAGCCACCGTCACCGAGTTCTTGCGCGGCTCCCAGGGTCATCGTGTTCTCCAGGTGTCCTGCCAGTTGATCTCTTCTTCCCTATGTTTAGGGGTAATTGATGGATTTTGGGGCTCTGAATGGACTACATCATATTTTGAAGTGCTTGCCGGCTGGGTTATTGGTAACATGACATCGTGAGTTAGTAGCCTCTAGACCGTATTCTCCATTTAGGTCCAGGCCTGTCAACTCGTATGTGGGAAATCGGAGCGGTAGAAACTTCGCATACATCTCATACTGGACATTAGTCTTCTCTGGCATATACCAACGCTGTTCTTACGACTTACTGGTTCTTTTCTCTCCAAATGGTAAAGCTTAAAGCTCTTCGAATACATGCCAAATGAAGTTGACAGATACCGTACGATAATTATAATGATGAATGTAGAAAAACAATTAGATTCTATTACTCGACACACCAGATGCTATTTCTTATACGAATTTGAGTCATCAGTAAAATTACCCGGCCATTGGATAAGGAGTCCTATCACATATTTTGTACAAAACCTACCCTACAGTAGCTGCATTGTCAGACGGTGATTAGATGATCATACGGGATTGGCCTAAAGACGTCCATATCAGCCGGGGAAATCTACTAACTGGTAGATAATAGAAAATTTAATGCTTATAATAATATTTACCGTCAAACAATTCAATTGTTTCTTTAGTGGTGGAAAAGTAAATACTAAATGGGAGCTGGTTAAGAATATCCGAAGACACTCAGCAAGATTTAGTGCACAGATAGATAGATATATACTAATAATATCATCTAAGTAAAACAAACCGACTCATCGTTCTCGCCACTTCTATGTTTAACGGCCAACTTTCTTAATAAGTTGGTTATTTTTACCTTTTAATGAGGCATGTCGTTATAAATGAAAGACAGCTTATTAACACGCTGCTAAGGTGGCGTTTCAGAAGCCCCATCTATGTGTTGTGGCTGGGCGTGTCTTCTTATCTTATCAGTTCATGCAGGTTCGCTGGAGCCTACTGTCAGTTGGGAGTTGGAGGGGAGCCTGGGGGAAGCTAAGTACTGTTAGCTAGAGGGCAGCTTGCGACACGCGACGTCTATCGTCAATCAACTCTCAATTGCAGATAACTTCAATAATTCCCAAGTAACAGGAATGCCGCGACGTCCGCCAGCTGTGGACGACTATGCGTCTGCGGTACCACATGTACAGCTCTCAACAGCTCCAAATCGCTTAGAAACATTGCGCTAACATCCGTCCTAGGTCATCCTCGCCTCTTCTGACGCTGAGTTCCTCGACCAACTGATTCCTGTCCTTAAAGATGCTACCCATTCAAATCGAACACCTCTTTTGACCCAGTGTCTAAGCCGATACTATGAAGAGCGAGAAGCCGAGATCGAACGCATTGGTCTGACCCGCCACGAGGAGTTTCTTGATTCCATCAACCATTTACAAACTGTTCGGGCGGAAACCGTTACTTTGACACAAGAGATCTTGAGTTTGAACGAATCGATCGCTACTAGCACAAAGAAGTTGGCCACGCAAAAGGAAGCCCTGGTCAACACTTCAGCTGTACGACAGAATATTGCCGACGCCACCAGTGCTTTGAATGACTCTCTCACCATCCTCCGCGCCGTCAACAATGCACACGATCTTGTCCGCCGCAAGAAATACTATGCCGCTCTCAAATCGCTCGACGACCTCCAAAATGAACATCTTGTCCCCATTATCCAAAACCGCTATTCTACGCAGCATCGGCTGGCCGATGTTATACAAAAATCGATACCCGCGTCGCAAAAGGCTATTTCGGAAGCTGTCATGACGGACTTGAATACATGGTTGTTCCGCATTCGAGAAACATCCCAATTCCTGGGCGAAGTCGCATTTTATCATACCGAAATGAGGAGGACCCGACAGAAGAAGAGGGTGGAAGATGATCCGTTTTTGGCCAATTTCAAGTTGAACTCGGCTATTGAGCTAGTCAGCGACGAAAATGAGGACTTTGACGTGCTGAACAATGAGGAATTACAAGTTGACTTCTATCCTTTGCTCGAGGCACTCCATATTCATGAAGCGCTGGGCCAACTTGATAAGTTCCGGTCAGAATATGGTGCTACACGACGTCAACAAAAGGACCTGCTGCTTCCTTCGTTCATTGGGCTTTTGGCCGAAGATGAGCAGTCTTTGAGTAGTTTGCTGGAAGGAATAGCAGGATTTGCCATTATTGAAAAGGCGACAATGCAGCGGGTTCCGCATCTGCGCTCAGCGAGTGATGTGAGAGCCAAACATCTATTCGCCCCCTCTACTTATACTAACGGGTTCCAAAACAGGTGGAAGAGTTGTGGGATTCCATGTGTACGGCTGTAATCAACCTGACCTCGAAAGGGCTGGGCGATGTCGAAGATGCCGAGGCCCTGATCAAGATCAAGACGATCATAGCTCTCTTCATCCAAACAATGGAGGTAAGAAATGCGCTGTCCCCCAATGTCCAGCATGCCGCGTCATGGCCATTGCTAAAATTTATCCAGGGCTGGGGATATTCAGTGACAGCGTTGGATAACTTCCTTCTCAAATTATTCGACAAATATGCGGAGCTTTTGAAGAAACGATTCAGCGAAGACTTCCACGAGGTAGGTTTCCTCCTGTTCGCAACAATGGTCGTGTCGTTACTCACATGTTGACAGATAGTATCCACGGATGACTACATGCCAATGGCCATCAACAACCCCGAGGAGTATGAAAAGGTGGTCAACGTTAGTTGGTTCTCTCAAGAAAAGCCAACAGACCAAATTACGTACGTTTCTATATCCAGCTTACAATATAGTCAACTAACAGAGCAGATACCCTTGCGTACTCCCTTTCTCGCAGATGTACCCCCTGTGTTGCATAGATATCCGCAACTTCCTAAACCAGTTCTACTTCTTTTCTGACGACCACTTCCAACACCCTACTGTTATCGATGAAACGCTCAGAAAGGTAATTCACCCCCTGCGATAGATGGCTGATTGCTCACACACATTATCCCAGTCCCTCGACGAACTTCTTACAGAAAAGGTCTGTAAATCGCTTGTGGAACGCTTGAGTTCTCAATACCTGGGTCAGATCGTCCAAATCCTCATCAACCTCGAGCACTTCGAGATCGCCTGTCGAGAGCTTGAGCAATTGCTTATCCGGGCGCGTTCCTCGACATCAGCAGGCGGCCCGGTCACGCTCAAGGCTACAGACGCATTTCGTGACAACAAGAAGACAGCTGAGAAGCGAATCTTCGAGCTGGTCAACTCAAAGATTGATGACTTGATCGATACGGCAGAATACGAGTGGTATGTTGCAATCACGAGCCCTCTAGACATTGTCTAACTGTTTTGCAGGACCGCGTCAACGGTTGAGAAGGAACCCAGCAACTACATGCAGACTTTGACGAGATATTTGTCCAACATTATGAACTCGACTTTACTTGGTCTGCCTCGCGAGATCAAAGAGCTCATTTACTTTGACGCACTAAGTCACACCGCCGAGAAGATTCTGGTAGGCAGTCATGTTCCCAATCTGTTGTCTGCCACTAACCGTACTAGGCCCTCCCTCTTTCGAATGATGTAAAGCACATCAACCCCAATGGCGTGACAGCCCTTGCACAGGATGTAGACTATCTTGTCCAGTTCGTCAGCAGTCTTGAGAATGGACAAATGCTCCGGGAGAACCTTGACGAGTTGTCGCAGACCATCTCCCTTCTGCAGACTGACAATCAGGACGAGTTCTTCGACATATCCACGCGCAACAAGAAATATGGACGTGTTAATGCCCTTAACGGACCGATGTTGCTAGAGAAGTATGCGCAACCCACCTCGTGCCTAGTCCAGACTACTGACAAAGACAGATTGACGCCCGTTGTGGCGAGTCCCGCTAGAAGCGCACCGTTGGCTGGGTTCTCATCGAGATTTGGCATAGGCCGATCATGATAGCATTCGCGAATTTATAATGACACTGGCGCAGGCGTTTTACGGCACTAGGAAATGGAAGCAATACAACGAGAGCAAGTATTCATGATAAGAAATAGGAGGTTTCTCTCAACTAAGTCTATCATAAGTTTATCGTAATAATTCCATAAGCATCACTCGCCTTTATGGTCTTAGGCGGTGTGCCTTAGCCTTCATAGAAAAACACCAGATACTCCATAACCCTTTGCATGAACCACAGCTGTGATCCTGCTAAACGTACATGATACGTATGTTTTCTAGCGCAATACAGCGCTCGTTGACCACGCCAATTGCTCGAGTGATTGGCAAAGGTGATAGTTCAAGTCATCCTTCGTTGACGTGTGACAGCATGCTCAGCCCCCAACAATCATCTCACATTAGTAGTTGGCACAACTTATTGAAACCTCAAGTTAGAGAGAAGTAAACATGGAATCATGAGACCGGGTCTACTGCTCTCCAAATTCTTCGTTAGGCATTGTAGGCTGCAAATTGGTCAGTACGGCACGACTGTAGATGACGGGACATTGATGCTTACTTGCTGAGGTGCCATGCCGGGATACGGGTACATGTCACCCATAGCTCCGTAAGGGTTCATGTTGGGCTGCTGGGCTTGCCCATAAGCGGCCTGAGGATTGGGCACTGACTGGTCAGGGTACATGTTGGCCGGGTTGCGATAGTCTTGCTCAGGAGCGATGCCATGGCTAGGCATGTATTCCGCACCCATTGGATGACCTGGGTTGGGCGCCTGTGCCATGGGATGCTGTCCTGGCATCTGAGCCTGACCAGCTGGCAATGGTTGAGCAGCAGCAGTCTGAGTCGCCCTTTTGGCGTGGGAAGAGGCCTCTTCACGAGGAACAATATCGATCAGGAAGTCGAACATGTCAGACTTTGCCAATGCAGATGCAATATCGGAGCGCTGAAGAGTTCTGCGCTTGTTCTCCTCGGCATGAATCCATGCCCTCATTGTCAACTCTGTGATGAAGATATCGCATCCTTTAGCGAAGAGAATGGGCGCTTCAGCAGAAATCATCTTGACTTCGGGATCGGCCTTCATGACCTTCTTGATACGGGCCAGCGGGAGTTGGTGGATCTTGTAATCATGGCTATCATTTTCGAGGTGTGAGATGGTATGTTGCCAGTAGGTCGTGAGAATGTCTTTGTACTGGCCGGTTAGACCTTGATGGGCCTACATCAAGTCGCAATCAGCCTTCCATACGCATGTTTATCATGACGGAACATGATACGTTGAGTTTCGACTTACATTGGCCCAGGGACCAGTATACAGCTCACTTGGCGCGAAGCCTTGCGACGCGAGCTAGATGTATTGTCAGCAGGATATCGAGATCAAGGTTGAAGCAATCGCGCGACTTCAAAAAGTATGCGATGGCAACAACCGCAAAGCGCATGACATACATGAGCGGAGGCACCTAGAAATCATGGTTAGATGTCATGGCACGTTGAGATTTGGAGGGGTATTAAGTTGGTGATGGATGCGCGCGTGAGTGAGCTGCTTACCGTAATGTCCACCTTGGCTGGGATCATAGACAGGTCTTTGACGAGTCTGTTGCGCCGCTTGGGGGTTTTGAGGGTCCATCTTGTTAGAAATTTGTCAAGCGATGTTTGGGCTTCAAAAAATGATGAGGGAAAGCCTTGTTTTATAATATCGTTGGGTTTGAGGCCTGACACCTTAACTTGAGCTTCAGTAATATGTGTGGATCGCGTTGGAAGGTTTGGTGGTGGTGGATGGGCATGAAAACAATGACGAATTAGGTACAAGAGTTGGGCCAATGTCTAGGAAGTCAGTGGGGAAAGTGTGTCCTTAGAGGCTTAGTCAAATTCAGAAGGTACTACTCTGGACAACGACTGGCGACTGCTGGCAAATAACAAAAATGCTGGCTTCTAAGCTCCAGAGGCGCAAAGTGCCTAAATGGCCCAAGATCGGAGTCTCTACGACGTAAATTGCCAACATACTAATTCTGCCTCTCATACTTTCAGTGGTCAGCAGCTTTTCTTTTCCGACGCCCTGAGGATCAATACTGGAAATTAAGAAAGCACGGCCACATTGGCAATAAACAACAGCCACACAGACAGCCACACCACAGATTCTCCACCTCGGAAGGAACTCGCGTCTCCATAATAATAATTTTTTGCCAGCCTCGAAACTATTTCTTTCGCGCAGCCTCTCGTCCACTTCTCTTTCTTCTTCTCCTCCTTCCGGTCGACAGCAGACCATGACAGACATCTTAGATGATCAGGTCGAGGAGCTGCTGCGCAAGGCTGAGCAGCGCCTGAAAGATGGCTCTGCTTCTGCTATCACAGCAACCACCACCTCTACTGCTGTAGTCCCAGCCTCAGCTGGCGACGCTGTGACAGATGTCACGCAGCAAAAGTCTTCCAACAGCAGCAGCAAGAAAGATGGTCTGACTGTTCGAGCACCTCCCCAACCGCTATCGGGACTCAAAGTCACGGAAAAGGTAAGATAAATATCTTTTATTCGCTATTTCACCTGCGCGCTTCATGAAGAAAATTTATCCCAAATTTTTGTGACATGGGACAGTATCCGTTTTGGATCAAATGCCCATGACAACGTGATCCTTTCATATCATAGTTACTCTGACTACTACCTCGCGCAAAATTTTCGTTACTCGTTGCAAAACATGTTTTGAAGCATATAGCTAACAAAATTTTCTATAGTCTACTGCAGGCTCCGACTGGTTCGATCTTCCCAAGACGAACATGACCCCCGAATTCAAGCGAGAGTGGCAAGTCCTCCGAATGCGAGGCATCCTGGATCCTAAACACCAGAAGAAGGCCCTCCGCGCGAGCGCTCCTGAATACTCCCAAGTTGGCAAGATCATCGAGGGACCTACCGAGTTCTTTAGCGCAAGGTTGACGCGCAAGGAGAGGAAGCAAAACATCCTTGACGAGGTCACTAGGGGTATTGATACTCACAAGTTCACCGACAAGTACGCTGGCATCCAAAAGCAAAAGTCAAGCGGAAAGAAGGCGTTTTACAAGAACGTAGTAGCGACACGTCGCAAGCGTAATTAATAATAATTTTATGCCTTAATCTCGTTGTCTCTTCCCCATTAGTGATAATGATGTCCCGTCTTGGCTGTGCCGCAAAATTTGCGCTGGACTGTTAGGTGATGCTGTATTGTCGCCAGCCGGACAGAACAGTGATGTTTCGATGTTCATGGTGTAATTACATTAACGTTTTGAATTCATGCTGTAAACTATTTATCAACTATGGTAATCTGGTGTGATTTTATCGACTTTCGTGGCACTCGAAGAGTGAGACCTTGTCTTCTTGAAGGTACCTACCTACAGCAAGTTAATACTATATGGCCTCAACTCGGCGGAAAATGAGTGTGTGGGGTTCCAACATATTTGTATCACTAAACCGGTCAGGACTCTAGATCAAATTGTCTGTTCATGATTGTATAGTTTGAGTATAAACAAACATGGGTTTCACTGTCTTATAAACTCAGAAATTACAGCAACTGAGAGTAAGATATTTGATAGTAGACGCGCGCTTGCGGCGTGTAGCAAATGTGTGGCCCGTGCACATACGTTGACCCGATGTTTTCTGGTTGGCGGCATCTCGAATCAATTTTCGAGCCTCATCGTCGCGACGTCAAGGGACAGGCAAGATGATGCGCCAAAGTATTAGACCCTTGCGGGCTTTCTCAGTATGTTCTTTCGTGTGGTGAATACACTCAATGTCCATTGGAGCTAACATACGGTCCAGTCCGAAGTGTCATGGATCGCCCGTCGAACACAGGCATCACTGTACGTTTCCCCACCAAGATTCGCTTTTTATGAACGAAAATCACCTTGTCGAACGAATTAGTACTAATTGACGTAGGGCTAAGCCAGGAGACCTTGTGCCAAACAAGCCAGAGCCCAGCAAGGACGAACAAGAGCCCCGGTTTCCTCGATCCATCCAGGCCCTGCACCTGAAGCCTCTAAAGCGAGAGGCCGAACACGGCATCCCCTCATGCGACCTTCAGCTTCGATCCTTCAGCGTTCAACCCCTCGAATTCTTCTCCGATTTTGCTCTAAGAGCCGCTTACTACTTGGGCCTCCCCGCCTACGGTCCCGTCCCTCTCCCACGCATCACCGAGCGCTGGACTGTCCCACGAGACAACTTCATCTTCAAGAAGTCGCAGGAGAACTTCGAGCGAAAGACACTACGTAGACTCATCCAGATCCGCGATGGAAACCCCGAGACAGTGCAGTTGTGGCTCGCATACCTCCGCAAGCACCAGTTCTACGGCGTGGGAATGAAGGCCAACATGTGGGAGTTTAGCGAGCTGGGCGAGGGCAACAAGATGGATGCTCTACCAGAAGCAGAGAAGGGTGAGATCGACGCCAAGTGGTCACATCTCGGACAGACCAAGACTATTGGAACAATGGAGAAGGTTGAGGAGATTCTTAACCAGCGACGGTTCCGAGAGGCTGCTGGTCTGAAGGTACCTCCTACAACGGAGGCGTAAGAGGAGGATTAAAACATGATAAAAGGAAGCGAGATCCTTGTGCTCCGGGAAGAGTAGCCGTCTTTGCCGGAAATCAGAGGAATACTGTATCTATCTTGAGTTGTACAATAGGCCATGTAAGGCTTGGGCTTTGTAAAATCAGCATTTGGAATGACAAAAAGTCAGCAAGATTGTTTTTATGTCAACAGTGAAATTATTCCCCCTTGGACTGGCCTTTGAGTTCGTCCATGGTGTTGGCATTTGCTTTGTTCGCATGAACATCAGATGGTGGCGGGCGTGACTTTGCCTAACAACCAACACAATGATATAACAGTCCCATACACTATATACAAGTTATAGACTAGATTTCCAACATGATGAGACATGTGTCGTATAAATTTATCGTCAATTCTTGAGGTTTTCCCTCGTCTCGATAATCTTCAACCCACGTGCCCCGGTAAATGCATACAAACCTATTCAATTGACAATTTCGACGTATTAGCGCATCGATTCAATCTTCATGAACTTGAAGACGCAATATTAAAAAATGCCACCAGTAAAAATACTAAATCCTAGGGTTATCTTCTCAGGCATCCAGCCTACGGGCGTGCCTCATCTGGGTAACTATGTCGGCGCCTTACGACAATGGGTTCAGCTTCAGCACACCGAACCAGATGCCAAGCTCATCTACTCCATCGTAGATCTTCACGCTATCACTATGCCGCAACCGCCGGAGCAGTTGAGAAGGAGGAAGAGGGAGGCATTGGCTGCGTTGTTGGCTATTGGCATTGATCCTGAGAGGGCGACTTTGTTCTATCAGTCTTCTGTAAGTGTGGTCTTGTATTTGAAGACATATTCTTATATATGCGAATGCTTCTGTATCGCTATCAACTAACGATATACAGGTCCCAGCTCATTCAGAGCTTATGTGGATTCTTAGCTGCACAGCATCCGTTGGATATCTCTCACGGATGACACAATGGAAGGCATGTTCTACCTTTCTTCATCATCACTACCGAGCAAAACCTAACAAACATCAAGAGTAAACTCAATCTTGGTGAGAAGTCCACTATAGACGACAAGCAAGCTGGTTCTCGCCTCAAGCTCGGCCTCTTCTCGTATCCCGTGCTTCAAGCAGCCGATATTCTCGTTCACAGGTGTGTTTTTTGTGGCAAACGCCATTGATATAGACTAACACTGGACAGAGCAACACATGTCCCTGTTGGACATGACCAGCAGCAACATCTTGAGTTTGCCCGTGAGTGCGTGACAAACTTCAATGCAGCCTACGGTAATCACCTTGTTTCCCCTCAAACTCTCATCCGTAAGCTTTCCTCCTTATCTTCCCCTACCCGACGCTCACAAGGTGTAGCCCCGGTTCACAGAGTGATGTCTCTCAATGACCCAACATCCAAGATGTCCAAGTCTCACAAATCAGAAAAGTCACGCATTCTTATCACAGACTCCCCTGAGGATGTCAAGGCCAAGATTGGCTCCGCAAAGACAGATTCCGTCCCCGGCATTACTTACAACCAAGCTGAACGACCAGGAATCTCCAATCTATTGGATATTCTCTCCATCTTTGACGCTGAGGGCAGGAAAGGCGTGGAGCTTGCAGAGCAGTACAACGACATTAGCCCCAAGCAGCTCAAGGAGATGGTCACCGATGCCGTAATTGGTGGTCTGGCCGGTATTCGTGACAAGTATCTTGAATTACTGAACAAGGGAGACCAGTATCTTGATTCAGTTGAGAGAATTGGTGCCCAAAAGGCACAAAAGAGTGCCGACGACACCATGCAAATTGTTCGAGATTCCGTCGGGCTTTGAGGTGTTTACAGCGATACAACGTATATTTGCGGATCGTAAGCAAGACATGTAAGAACATGTACGAGTAAATAGACAGTATTGAAACACCATTGGTTTAACGATGCACAAACTCCGTCCAAGCTTTTGTCTATGAATCCTTCCAACTCCTTTTCTCATAACATATTTTATGACGCATAAGCAAAATTGGAGCCTCGCGATGACTGCCAAAAGTCCCTCACAACTTGGTTTGTTGCCCTCGCCCCTCGAAGACTATGAATAAATGATTTTAGTCTCAGACTGGCATTGAAGGTTAGATGAGCTAGCTTACCTGATAACTTTTTTTACGAACACTGCCTTGTCCTGGGCCGATACCTTATCACTGGGGAAGGTCTCGTGTGCAAGCCCCGACTCGAGCCAGCTCTTAGCCGTGGGATACCGTACTACAAGCTTTTTGAGGGGCTCGCTCAACTTATCTAGCTCACTTCTGGATGCGTTGCCACCCAAATTCCTGGCAAGGCTCTGCGCTAATAAAGGACCCAACATTTGCATAGCTTGTTGGGCAATATCGTTGAGCTCTTGTGACTCGTACTTGATACTCACAAAGGTAGACTATCTCAAAGTTAGATGCGGGTGAAATCGGAGAATGGCATTGGCTCCTCTTACCCAAAACTCTGCTGCGCTTGTTTTCGGGAGCGGTTCTTTCCCATCCAATACCTCAAGGGTGAAGAGAAAGAAGAATTCGGCTGCGTTGGATGGTTCCAGGCGAAGTAGGGTAATTGGACGTTTATTCAGGAGACGGGTAACGAAATCGATACCGTTCTGCGAGAGCTCCGGGTCTACCTCATGGCCTGTCGTAAAGTTTAGTGTGTGAATAAGTTACATCGTATGACAAGTGACTTACTGGGTAGTTGCTTTAGCAAACCAATCACCCAAAGCACCACCGAGTTGAGCATTTCCTGCTGATTCTCCAACCCATCGTGCTCGAGTGAGCTTACGAAAGAGCAAGCTGTCTTCACAAGTAAACCCACTCTTGGTGTCTGAAGACCTTGGTATGTCAGGTACTGTGCAACACTGTGAGGTGGCAGTACGAATGGGCCAGGTTCCGACTCAGAGAAGCCACTGCGTAAGACACTGCACACTAGCTCTACAACTTCGCCGCTGCCATTAAATGACTCTTGAATCTGGCTAATAATGGACATGATAGTTTCCTGCAGTTGTATAAGCTGAGGATCCACGGCTTGAGTACTGACATTGTCGCCCTCGAGATCGACCGAAAGCTCAAATGAAGCTTGGAGACCTTTGCCAATGCTGGCAAGACATCGGAGAGATTTCAATGCGGTATGAAGAGCCGGATTTTCGTCGGGAGCAGCATACGCACAGTATCGGGGAGGGCCAAAACAGGGGACAGGATTGTCAGGCGGCGACTGTAATAGTTCCAAAGAACGCTGCACATCAGCCTGAACAAACCCAAGAAGTCTTGCACACGCCGAGTATTTCTGGTTTGGATCAGGCATCGCCTGAATGACTGCCGCAATGCCACCTACGACCTTTTCGCTGGCTGCACAGTCGAGTCGTTCTCCAGATACCAGATTTTGATACTCGTTCAAGAAACCATGAGCCTCTGTGTGCAGAGCTCCTCTGCAGGAACCACACAGCCTTAGTATAGACTTCGCAGCTGCATTTGCCATTGCATGCTCTCCAACAAACCCGAAAATGAAGTTCAAGGCTGGGTGTAACTCCGCAATATTTCGCTCGAAATATTCTGTATAACGCTCGATTAGAGCAACACAAGTTTGTCGAACTCTAGAAGGGACTTCCCCCTGTCCAGATCGCAAAATTGAGAATAAGGATGACCTGAAAACAACCGCAAGCGCGTCATCGCATCTACCGTCGTCACTTGTGCAATCAGCGAGCCCACCGAGACAAAAGGCTGCGGCCTCGAGCTGTAGCCATGCCGACTCAGACAACGCTTTGAGCACCAGGTCTGCGAATGTTGCTACAAGTTCCGGCCCTACCAAGGTATAGACAGATTGAAGCAGATCTACAACATCCTTTCTTGCACTGGAGAAGCTCATCCGTTCGTTTGAGTCCCAAGAAAGGAAGTCTTTGGTAGGTGGGTAGACTATTTTCTGCCACGCGTGCGATACAGCTTGCAATGCATGCGAGCGTGCTTGCGGAACCCATGTATTGACTGATTCCGGGTCACTATACATCGAGTCAGTCATAGTCTCGGCATAAGTTAGCCAAAACTCAAGGGCCGGAACGAAGATCCTATCTTCGACAAGATCGCCCTGCGCAGCAAGCAGACCGCACAGATTTGACAGCAGCCTCTGGGATCGACTGTCGTTACTTTGCATCAACCTATCGATTCTGGCTTCGCCGAACGCGAGAATGAGTTGCCCAAACTGGACAGGTTCAAAGTCAAAATCCCCCTGTATCAATTCCTGATAACGGCGCTGAAACCAAGGAGTGTCGAAGAGCTGACTGAGGCTCTCAAGATGTGAATCGGTCAAAAACGGCAAGCAGTTAGACAAAAGGTCTGTCATCAACTCTGCCGATACACTGTAAAGCTCGTCGATTGTGAGGGAAGTAATAACAGCTGTGATCAACGGTTCAATGGGCTCAGAGAGTCTGGTGTCTCTTGATGATGACTTTTGAGCAAACCACACCCACGACTAGACCCAAATTAGTAACTAGCAGAAGAAAGGACCATATAGTTTACCTGTAGGCACTGGATTGCATCCTCGTGAGCAGCCTCGTTTGTAACTTGTGGCGACATGCCGCGACTCATTAGAGTCACTGCGTCAGGCAAGTTTTCGAGAATCGCATCATAGACGCCAATACTATTAAGAGGTCAACATACGTACCCTAAGGAACAGGGTGGGACAAACTTTTTGGGCGAATTCAAGTTGATCTTGGTAGCTTCTTCCAACACGTTTCTCAAAACCCAAAGAGCAGGTTGTAGTTGCGAAGGGTCCATACGTTCAATAAGAGAAGATGAATCAGGAGCATTATGAAGAGCGCTTGGTCGGCATGACTGGCCTGAGACCAAACATAGTATGAGGTGATGACAGAAGCTACCCCAAACTTGATGGAAGTTGAGGAAGAAGGTAGCGAGAGCCGAAGCAAGCTTCCTAGCAACCAGTGGTGAGGTTCCACTGCGAAGAGTATCGATGTATCTTCCTATCAGCACTTCCAGTAGCTCAGCGGCATTCTCAGGGGTAAGAGACGAGCTACAGAATGTCAGCGAATACACATAAACCGTTTTGGGCGGAACGAAAATACCTCTCGTTGTTGAGTTTGATGACGATGGTGAGCGCACCAAAAAACCTAACCTGTTCTTCGGGTCTTGCAAGCAAATCACGAGCAAGGCCCCAAGCTTCTGGAGAATCCTGAAGTCGTGACAGAATAGCTTGTGTTCGTTTGATGATCTCAGGGGGGTTTGGCTGGTACAGAGATAGGATGAGCTACAAACAAGTCAGTAAACTAGTTGGATTCTCTGCCTGGCAGGAAAACAGATCCAGCTTGGGTTTGGTTCACGCACGCTCTCAACCTCTGGTATTGACGTTGGGATCTGATCTTCAGCCATGATGAAGAGTGCCAATGACCAATTGGAGGCTTTGCTCCCGGTAGTGCTGGCAAACTTTCTCGAGTTCCGACGGAAACAGTGAGACGGTGGAAAGAGATGCCCGACAGCACTCAAACAACGGTCGGCTTGACTCTTGCTGTCGTCGACAAGCTCGCGTTTCAGAAGATGGGAATAGATCACAATGATCTATTCAATGCTAGTGACTTTCAGATAGCTAAGTATCATACAAGGACAGCTAGGTTTTCCAAGAATCACAAATATGAGAAAAGGAGCCTGGTATCACGCCCCTGGCAACTCTCTTGGAAAATTTCTGATGACTCTGTCCGTACATTTGTTAGAAGGGGGTGAAGAGATAGAGAAAGGCCATACCTAGAGATGAGTTACTCTAACCTTATATGCTGGAAGTCAAGGTCTTCTGGAAATGCCTACTAAGGTAGGTAGGTAGTTGTGTCGAAGTATTACACGACTGGATCAAAGTGCAGTTTTGTTGCCGGGATTGTTGCTAGGGTACCTATCTACCTTAATGCACAGTACCCTTTGACGGGGGGTTTGGTAGACAAGACAAGAAATATCGGTGTGTCAAGTACTGAGGCTGCCCAAGATAGAGTCGCCTCACAATAAAAATAAATCGATGCTCGAAAGGGCCGCTTGTCCAGGTTAGAGGCTTAAAACACCCTGGGCGTGGTAAGATATTGAGAGCCTAAGCAAAGCCAGGCCAGTCGCTGAAAGGGTACATGTACCTGAAGTGGGGTACATGGGAAGCCTGTCACGATGATGGTGACTTCTGTCGAATTAGGCATGGGGTTTAACTGCTGAAAGGACTCCCTTTTAGAGACAATGTAGCTTTTTCTGACTGATTCCCACTTGATCAGTGTAGCAGCTTACTGAGCTAATTCTTTTACTTCAGGGCAGTCAGTGAGTGACTGTTCGATTGAGGAAAGCGGCTTCCTTCGGGCAACGGCCATTCAGAAGATCCGCTTGCACTCGGTTTGCCCCGCGCCACCCAGCATGAGGAAGGTGTGTTACATAGCGGGTACAGGTTATGGCAGGTAGGTTGGGTTAGTGCGTGTGTCCATGATTGACACCCGCATTTCTTGACGCATCTCAATCTGTGATCTTATACATCAACTCTGTCTTGTACAGAAACAATAATATTTGCTTTTTTTTTTTGGAAATAACTTGTCTAGTTACCGCATCTCTTCATTGTTTTTACTGCAATTTTTCTATCAAGGTGAGCAGACCAACACATCAACTCCTCAGAGCCATGACTCTATCTCCGAGCCCCTCACTCTACTCCTCATCATGACACTTCATTATGATACAGAGCTTCATTCTTCCCCCATATCTGCTTCGAGAATCAACCCCTCTGCGAGATATTCAACCACTTCTTCTTCGTCTTCATCGCATTCACTTTCATCACTTAAGCCCTGTGATATCTAAGTCATCTCATTGAACATACACTGACACCCCTCTCTGAAGTCACTGGAACATTGAGCTCCCAACTTACTCAATTGATTCACCTACTTCATCCCAGTTCGTCTCTTCCCTCTCGAGGTGTGTTTGTTTCGTGCGTCTGATTTTCAATGGTTTTCCAGGCTGCGACCTCGCTCCTCCGTTCGGCACCTCGTCGACTAGCTGCAGCTTCACGCTTATCGTCACGCCGTTGGACTTCATCTGAAACCATGGCCAAACTCGATTCTACTTCCAGGCTCACCCACCTGAGGGGCTTGATGAAGGAACGTAACGTCCAAGTTTACAGTAAGTATTTGAGCTCGCCGATGCTGTCTGTTTAAGAAAGAGCATTACTAATAACGGATCACAGTTATTCCTTCTGAAGACAGCCACTCATCTGAATACATCGCAGAATGCGATGCCAGGAGAGCTTACATCTCGGGATTCACTGGCTCTGCTGGATGTGCCGTCGTGACCATGGAATCTGCTGCCCTTGCTACTGATGGCCGTTACTTCAACCAGGCCGCATCTCAACTCGACGACAATTGGACACTACTTAAACAAGGCCTTCAAGATGTTCCTACTTGGCAGGATTGGTCGGCGGACCAATCGTCTGGTGGGAAGAACGTGGGAGTTGACCCGACTCTTATTTCTGGCTCCACAGCCAAGGGCCTGGCTGAAAAGATTCGAAAGAACGGCGGTGCCGAGCTGGTTGCTGTTGATGGAAACCTCGTTGATCTGGTTTGGGGCAATGAGCGTCCTACCCGTCCCTCAGAAAATGTCATCATCCAGCCCGACGAGCTCGCTGGAGAGTCTGTGTTGAACAAACTCAACAAGGTTCGTCAGGAGATGGGAAAGAAGCATTCTCCCGGCTTTCTTGTTTCCATGCTGGATGAGATTGCGTGGCTATTCAATCTGCGTGGCAGCGACATACCTTACAACCCCGTATTCTTTGCCTATGCCACGGTCACACCCGATACTGCTAAGCTTTACATTGATGACTCCAAGTTGAGTGATGAATGTCGCTCTCATCTCACTTCGAACAACGTCGAGATTAAACCATACGACGCTATCTTTGAGGATTCTCAAGCACTCCACGCCGCTGTTGCCGCAAAGACCAAGGCTGATGATAAAGCCCCCAAGGGAAACTTCCTGATCTCTAACAAAGGCTCATGGGCACTTAAGCGAGCTCTTGGAGGTGACTCTTCGGTTGATGAGATCAGAAGTCTTATTGGTGATGCAAAGGCCATCAAGACCGAGGCCGAACTCAAGGGTATGAGGGACTGCCACGTGCGGGACGGTGCTTCGCTCATTCAATATTTTGCTTGGCTCGAGGATCAGCTGGTGAACAAGAAGGTTACACTTGATGAAGTCCAGGCTGCCGACAAGCTTGAGGAGCTCCGCAAAGAAAAGAAGGACTTTGTTGGCTTATCGTTCCCGACTATCTCCTCTACTGGTGCAAAGTGAGTACACCGGTCGTTGGTGTTGAGACATCCGCCATCTATAGAACCCAGTTATTGGCCAGTGCTATGAAGCTTTACTGACCATTACCTACAGCGCTGCGATCATTCATTACGGCCCCGAGCGTGGAAATTGTGCCATAATTGACCCCGAAGCCATCTACCTTTGCGATTCTGGTGCTCAATACCGCGACGGTACCACAGACACCACTCGAACACTGCACTTTGGAACGCCGACGGATGCTGAGAGGGAAGCGTACACTTTGGTTCTGAAGGGACACATCTCTCTAGACCAAGCCATCTTTCCTAAGGGAACTACTGGTTTTGCCCTTGATAGTTTGGCTAGACAACATCTTTGGGTAAGTAGCCATTGAGAACATATCAGCTGTGATACCTAACACTATGATAGAAAAACGGACTGGATTATAGACATGGTACTGGGCACGGAGTCGGATCATTCCTGAATGTCCACGAAGGTCCCATTGGCATCGGCACTCGTGTTCAATACGCCGAAGTGGCCCTTGCTCCAGGAAACGTATTGTCCAACGAGCCTGGTTACTATGAGGATGGAAAGTACGGCATTCGAATCGAGAATATGGTTCTTGTCAAGGAAGTCAAGACTAAGCATTCCTTTGGTGACAAGCCTTTCTTGGGCTTTGAGTATGTCACCATGGTACCTTACTGTCGAAACCTGATTGACGCGACACTGCTCACTTCGGAAGAAAAGGACTGGCTCAATGCCTACAACGAGAAGGTCCTTGAGAAGACACAAGGTTATTTCGATGGTGATGACGTGACAACGGCCTGGCTCAAGAGAGAGACAGTGCGCATCGATTAAGCAATGAAATCGGTACCCACAGCGCTATAGACGTACAAAGGTAGCTAGTATAAATGTTGCAAGGAAAGAGGCGGTAAACAATGGCCTGTTCTTGCTCTTGTTCCAGATCGAGCTATTCTTCAACAGCTTTTCAATACCAAGCGTTCGAGGAATATCCAAACCCCAACGGGAGGCAAGCTAATGATGTGAGACCAAAATCGTGCAAGTAGATAGGTTGAAGATGACTTACATGAATGGAAAAAGCAATTACTCCTGCAAGAAACGCAAGGGTTCGTGAAAAGAGGGCGACTACAACACCGACTCCAAATCCTAAGGACAGTTATGAGCTTACCGTTCGCTTCAGATCACGACGGTAGGGTAACATACCAGCAATACTTCCGCTAGAAAGCTGACGGACCGTATCCGGAGAAACATCAAAAGAGCGGTTTCGTCGTGGAGGTCCCGTAGCAAGGGTAGGTGCATCACAGCGGATGACAGGTCGTGTTGCAACGAAAGCTCCGATGCAAGTCGCAGGGGCAATGCCTCGGCTCATGGCTCGAAGAGCTATTCTAGAGTTGAATGTACGATACATTGTGTTTGGTATAGCTCGTCTTGGGTTGATTGAGTCAATTGTTGATTTGGAAGTTTAAAAGGCAAGGTAAACTCAAGGTCAGAAACAGAAAGTAAAGGGGAGCTTAGTGTGTTGCCTATTACGTCAGTGACACTGGTCTCCCCGTCATGAGCTCCCAGCCAATGGCTAATCAGCGTGGGTTAAACAAAGAAATTCCACGTCCCTAGAAACCGGCATATCAAAAGGAAACCTTTGGTAACAAGACAAACAGGTAAATTGGTGGTTGCTCACCGCATATTAGATAAACAAAAGCGCTGTTTCCACTGACTGCGAGTGCCAAAATCCGTGCAAATCAGAACGCCAAGCAATAAATAAAGCAAATACGACAGTAGGTATATCTCGAAGCGCCCAACGCCGTTCGCACTCCCAAGCCAAATTTTTAACAATCCCTATCCAGGTTTCGTTCACTCTTTTCTTGTCCATATTGAGGTCCCCTAACCCAATCCACCCCACATACCGCGTATCCGTCTTGCTAGTTGAATATCCTTCTGCATAATTGTGACACGCTTGGCGTGGATGGCGCAAAGGTTGGTATCCTCGAACAGGTGAACCATGAATGCTTCGGCAGCTTCTTGAAGAGCCATAATCGCTTGACTTTGCCAGCGCAGACCCGCGTCGGCAGGACGCATCGATAGTGCGATTTCTCGGACCTTGAGGCTTGGTGTTAGTGACTGATCGCGTATAGAATTGAGGTTGGAAATGGCTAACCAGTCGTGCAAATGGAAGCTTTCGGAGGAGGAGTTTAGTGCCACTTTGATAATGTCGAATTTCGCGAAGTGCGACGGTGCCGGGACGGTAGCGACGCTTTGCGCGAACGGGGACGGGATCACCAGCTGCAGACATGTTTAGTTTATTTGCTCCTCGGGTTATAATTGGGTATCTAATTTTCGTACCTTGAACAGCACTTGGCCGCGACTTACCAGCGCCTGAAGCTCTGGGTTTCTTGACGGGAGGCATCGAAGGAACGTATAAGGACAAAGAGCGAAGATAGTCCTAAAGCTTGCGAATCTTATAGCAATATGAATATGAAGAAAGAATTAAAGCAAACGTTGTTTTGCACCAAATGCTCAGACTTGAAGCTATGCGATTAGATTTACCATGAAAGAATATTAAAGGTGCAGGAGACAACCGAGAGTGGTATAGGATCGCAGGGTGGGAAGGAAGGACCACCACCGCGACTGTGAGCGTGTGAGCGCGCGCTTCCCAGCCCCGCGATTTTCTTTAATTGAAATTGCAGCCACAATTTCGCGTGATGCACAGCCACATAGTCTGCACGGCCACTTCATCCTGTAGGTAGATTCCAGATCTAGGTATAGACACGGTACGTCCTTCCGTTGACCCCCCGGAACAGTGGGGGAAAGGAAGGTACGGTACCGTAACGTGGCTCGTCCTATTCCGTCATCCTCAAGTTCAACGATCAACGATCATTGAACTTGACACTGACAATTATTTTAACTAACAGATTCACTTCTCTTGCCAAACAACAGTAACAGCCTCTCTTTATCACACTAATCACAAGTTTTACTACTCCACTTCTGTCAGCATTCACCGAACCATCGCCATATATAAGCCTGTTCCACTCACCAGTCTACACATCACTTACAGAAGGGTATTGATATTAACAACGCCCGATATTGAAACCGCCCCGATGGATCAAGTAATGGATGGAGGTCGCTTGCCTCTTGAGGAGTGGTTCTGGGAGATGCCAACATGCACTCGCTGGTGGACAACTGCTACGATTCTTACGAGCGCCCTGGTTCAATGCCAGATGGTGACGCCTTTCCAGTTATTCTATAGTTTCCGGGCCGTGTTCGTGAAGTCGCAGGTCAGTATTGCTCTTGGGTTTTCTCTCTTTGCTCAGCATGCTATATGTCTGTGATGATGCCGGTTATGCTGACAAGAGCCCTCTTACAGTATTGGCGACTGTTGACGACGTTCTTATACTTCGGCCCCTTCTCGCTCGATCTGCTCTTCCACGTCTACTTCCTTCAGCGGTATTCGCGACTTCTCGAAGAATCTTCGGGTCGATCGCCTGCGCACTTCTCGTGGCTACTTCTCTATTCAACGACCTGCTTGATCGCCATGTCACCACTCGTTTCGATGCCTTTCCTCGGCCACCCGCTTTCCTCGACTCTCGTGTACATTTGGTCGCGAAGAAACCCCGAGACTAGACTCAGCTTCCTCGGCTTGCTCGTATTTACTGCACCATACTTGCCCTGGGTTCTGATGGCCTTCAGCCTTGTGTTACATGGTACCATTCCCAAAGACGAGATCATGGGTGTTGTAATTGGGCATGTCTGGTACTTCTTCTCAGATGTCTACCCTCCTCTGCACAACGGATCTCGACCTTTAGATCCTCCTAACTGGTGGAGGCGCTTGTTTGAGGCTCGTCCTCAAGCTGAAGTGGATGATAGTACAAACGAAATTCTTGTCGCTGATGCTAGAGGAGCAGCGCCTCACGAGCTGTGAAATTTGAAGGAGGGATAGGCAACGGCAGTCTACTGGAGAAGATTGGTATGAAGCCGGGCTCATAACAGCTCAATGAGGTCTACCTCGGTTATTTTTATTGTTTGGCGTTGAATGGTCAATATTATGGAAGCATCACACAGGATACAGACGTTAGGACTGTGGATGGCGTTTGTTTATTTCAGCGTGGAGATTAAAACAATAAATTGTCTTTATCACTTGAAAGCAAGATGGTATTTCGATGCATTCTACTATGTACAATCATGAGGCTATCCAGCCTGTCATGATATGACATGGGCTAACGCACTTCCCGTCTGCTGCCGGAATGATCGCCAAATCGGGCACCAAGTTTTACAAAGCCCCTAGAAAGTCTGGCAATCCTATAGTCGGTCCATTGGAGGCTTGGCCTTGAAAGGCTTGTGATTGTGATGTCAGTGTAACAAGATCAGTCTGACTGCAACTAAGTTGGGTTTTAGTGCAGCAATCGGTGCTGACGTCGCTCGCTAGCTTTGGCCGAACATTCCATTTGACCCCGCCGTCATGGATGGAACCTTTGAGATCCAGTGGTCTGTCCCATGGCCCATGGTACAAAAAGAGCTTTGGACCCTCACCTTTTACAAGCTTCAAATAGCTCCCAACTGCTGACACCTTGGCTTTTACAACGCCGTATTCTTCTAATCCTCTTGTTGGCCTATCTCTTCACTGTTTGGATCACAACTCTACTATACAGCAACCATGCGAGCTTACTTCTACGATGGTCTTCCAGTACGTATATCCTCATCTCGCTGCCCGACCTATCGACTAACAAAAAGTCACAGGGTGACCAGCGCCTCCCCCACAACTCTGGAAAGCCCGTCAGCGTCGACGATCTTATGAACATTGGCGTTTACTATTACCATCTTCCTGAGCTCGACCAGGTCGACAATCTTGCGAATGAGCGCGAATACAAGAACCGTGACGAGATCACCGTCTCTCCCCAGGCTATGGGCGACATCTACGAGACAAAAGTCAAGTCTTTCTTCGCTGAGCATCTACATGAGGACGAGGAGATCCGCTACATTCTTGGTGGACGTGGATACTTTGATGTTCGAAGCAAGGACGACGACTGGGTGCGCGTTTTGCTTGAGAAGAATGACTTGCTTATTCTCCCTCCTGGCATTTACCACCGCTTCACCACCGACGAGACCAACGTGAGTCTAGAGACACATTGCTGTATAGACGTTATGCGAGACTGACTAACTGATCTGTAGTTCGTCCATGCCATGAGACTGTTCAAGGAGGACCCCAAGTGGACGCCACTGAACCGCGGCCCCGAAGTCGACAAGAACGAGCACCGACAAGAATACGTGAAGCACTTCATTGGCGAGTCTACCGAGTAAGAAGCCCACCTGTGAAACAAGCCGTCCTTGATTGTGAGGGCTAAGTAGCAGGAGAACAACCACATTGCCGGTCCAACTTAAGAGCCAACAACCATAAATACCGCTTCTTGAAGGTTCTGCGCCGCGATGGAGAGCGCAGCGGTTGACGTGATGCGGAGGGTCCTTTACGTCATGTTCGTGGTTCCAAACAGCTTACCAACGTACGATTTGCGAGCGAATTTTTTCGAGTCTGGAAAGGAAGAGCCATAGCGAAGTTAGCAGTTTGCATAAGCTTGAATATCCAACGTCTAACGACATAATTGAAGGTTTATTTCGAGATGAGAGTTAGCGGGAGTTAAAGAAGCCATGTTTCATAGTAATTAAATACTGTGCATCCATATGTCTCGGTCTAAATTGACGCAGTGATTGATTTTGGGATAGGTAGTTGATATTAATTGGTTTATGATGGTCAGCAAGTAATCGGACTCATGGCATTGGCTGTCGGTTCATAAACTACTGCAAGCATGTTTAAGTGAGAACAACCTGCATGGAGTTTGCAGTAAAGCTAATGAATAGTGGTTTTCGTTGAACTGCCTGCCGTGATTTGCAATAATGTATAAATTGATTTTTCGTATATACTAGGTATACGACAGGTTGTAATAGATGCATGGTTCGTATTCTGCAGTTCCTTACACGTCAAGCACCCTATACTTACCATTGAGGGTTATGTTGACAGGCCGGGTACGGCTGAGAGACGCTGACCGCTCTTCAGATGCCTTGTTTGATGTACGTAGGACTTGTATTGAATTTCCGAGTTAGATACTACCAATTCGACTGTTTTAGATCTACGTCAGCCTCATGACGCGCGTTGTCCAAGTCCAGCCTTTTTAGCACTGATATGTAACTCGATTACAGGCTCGAACCCCGCCTAAAACCAACGATACCCTGGTGTTTCATTGATCGTCAACAACTGGATGCCTGTCGTCTCCAGGTTATATAAACCTTCTCTTAACATCACCTGGAATCAGCAACAATAATCAAGACTCACGGCCCAATTGCTGAGATCCAACTGCAAAATGGATGCACGAACAGAAGTCTCGGATGCCACCGAGGCGTCAACACGGCCACGAATTGCGCAGCTCCCTGCTAGCTGTGACCCTCCACAGCCTAATGCTGCTGTGAAGCAATTGGTCTGGGTGGTATGATTTCTTCTCCTCGACATATTCTCTCTGCTTTTCGACATACTTATAATGTACAGATCTTTGGAGGCACAGGCCAAATGGGTCATACTCTTGTCAATAGTGCACTCGCACATGGAGATTTGGTGACATCGGTTGGTCGCGTGTTTGAGACAAGCCTCAACGACATGGAAAATATTCATGAGAATTGTCTCGGCGCGTTGTGTGACGTTCGCGCACGCGAGTCCGTCAATCGAGTTATTGAGCGCACGCTTCAGCGATTTGGCCGCATCGACATTGTTGTCAATTGCTCTGGCTACGGTGTGATTGGCGCTTGTGAGGATCAGGATGAGCATGATATACGCAATCAGTTCGAGACCAACTTTATGGGAACGCTTCACATCATTCATGCCACGCTGCCTTATTTTCGCAGACAGAATGCTGGTCGATATCTCATCTTCAGCTCTACTTCAGGCGCGCTGGGTGTTCCTGGTTTGGGCCCTTATTGCGCGACCAAGTATGCAGTCGAAGGCTTGATTGAAGCCATGCTCTACGAGACTGATGCATTTAACATAAAGGCTACACTCATCGAGCCAGGCCATGTGAGGCCTGAAGAGCCCGAGATCCAAGACTCGACACTTCCGACATCTTGGGGTCATTTTCTTGTTAAGCCACCGAGCGAAACATACAGCAATCCAACGGCGCCTGCATTGCATGCGCGAAGAATCGTTCAGTGGCTCGGCGACAAATATCGACCTACAAGCGCAATCAAATGCGCCGAACTCGTATGGCAACTCGGGCACTGCTCGTATCCTCCATTACGACTTTTGTTAGGAAGCTATGCGATTGAAAGTATTCGTGATCGTATGCGGTCTGTGACGGAAGAATTGGAAGATTGGAAGCACCTTAACTTCCCAGCTGGGCCGGATGACGACAGAGAAGCCGGTGAAGAAACAGCAATGCTAGATGCCAATGAGACTACTTCGTAATACCCAAATGAACATCATGGGTATCGGCACGAAAACGGGCGCGCGTATGTATTATTTCCCTCGTACTGAGTGGAGCAGCCAAAAGCTAATCATCCTTACGAGGCTCAGCACGCACACATACTATTCTTTACGAGCTGGACCGTGGGCCTGGATAAAGATGCCGGTCGTGTGATCTATCGGATCTGGACCGAAAAAAGGGCTGCATACCAAACGTCACTAAACCGTCCCTGTCAAAATGACTAAGCCTAATATCTTAGTTGCTCCACGTCTCCCCTTTGTGCCCCTCGACCCTGTGGCTTGTACCTGGCCAAATAGTCAAAGGGAGAAAAAGATTCCAACGGGGGTAAAAAGTTGGGGATTTGTCCAACGCGTTACCCTTCTTTCGTTTTTTCACTACGACCTGCCATATCGTTGGGACACACCTCTTCTCCCGCGAAACCCACCACCATACGCCTCTCGTTTCCGAATTCGACAGCTAGACCCATTACTCCCCGTCGCACCCCAGCGCTGATCCCCGTTTCAACTTCCACGATCGTTTCGTCGCCCGTTCCGCCGGTACAATGACCGATAAGAAGAACGAGGACTACGTCGTCCGTATGGGCGACGATAATTACGACAAGAATGAGAAGCCTAGCTTTCAGGCTCGGTCACCGCCTCCTATGGCGTATGGCTCGAGTCAGATCCATGGTCTCGAACAGCTGGAGAAGAGTCCTCCTCTGTCTATCGCGGCGTACTGCCTGTCCTCGATCAGCATGACCGTTGTGAACAAGTATGTTGTTTCGGGCAGTTTCTGGAACCTCAACTTTTTCTACTTGACTGTTCAGGTATGGTCATTGGCGCAAACTGTCTATAAGCACGGAGTTTAACTGTATATTCTCAATAGGCTATTGTTTGTATAGGCACGATTACTTTGTGCAAGCAGCTGGGTCTGATCAAGGTTCTCGCTCCTTTTGATGCTGACCGAGCAAGGAAATGTACGTTATCGCAGTCCCAAATACTATTTTCAGGTCACTAATACGAAAAAAGGGTTCCCCATCTCTCTTCTCCTCGTCGGCATGATTTATACCAGCACCAAGTCGCTCCAGTTCCTCTCGGTACCCGTTTATACGATCTTCAAGAACCTGACAATTATCGTGATCGCATATGGAGAGGTGCTTTGGTTTGGTGGTAGCGTTACCCCTCTGGCCCTACTTTCGTTTGGTCTTATGGTCCTGAGCTCAATCGTTGCCGCTTGGGCTGATATTCAAAGTGCCATCAACGGCGATTTTGGTACTGGTGACTCTGCTGCCGCTGTGTCTACGCTTAACGCTGGTTACGCTTGGATGGGCATGAATGTGTTCTGCAGTGCGGCCTACGTGCTCGGTATGCGCAAGGTTATCAAGAAGATGAACTTTAAGGACTGGGACAGTAAGTTAAGACGTTGGCGGTGTGATGTTCCTAAACTGACCTTGTGTAGCCATGTACTACAACAATCTTCTCACGATCCCTGTTCTTGTCATCTGCTCTCTCCTGACAGAGGATTGGTCTGCCTACAATTTCTCTCGCAACTTTCCTGACGATACTCGCAACAAGATCATCATCGGTATGATCTACTCTGGCCTTGCTGCTATCTTTATCTCTTACTGCTCTGCCTGGTGCATTCGCATTACCTCATCGACGACATATTCTATGGTTGGCGCCTTGAATAAGCTTCCTATCGCAATTAGCGGTCTGGTCTTCTTCTCGGCTCCAGTCACTTTCGGCAGCGTGTCTGCCATTTTCATCGGTTTCATCAGTGGTCTTGTTTATGCTTGGTCCCGTGTACGACAGTCGATGTCGTCCGGCCCTTCTTTACCTACTGTTGCACCTCCAATGAGTGCCAGCGCCAAGAGCAATCGCGATGCAAACTCGTAGACTTTACGAAACAAGGCGCGGCATTTGAGGGTATGTGTTGTGCAAGGCGTTAGTGATGTGGATAGATAGCTTCCGTGACAGATACGGAACAAAAGGATACAGGGCATTTGGTAGAGCCTGGTCCAGGATTTGAGACATGTAGACCTTTTAATGAACGCAAAAATGCGCGTTGCTCGTTAACTCGTAGTCAAGAGAGTACAGGACGTGCTGAGGCATCATCTTTCTTCCAACTTTGGCTGTTCGGTTTTATCCAAGATGACAGATGTATCATCCCACCACGCTCAAGGTATCTAGAGAAAGAAACCGACCTATGCTAAATAAGGAGAGAATCACGCTCTTGTATTATTGGCATTCATAGCTAAACAAGTAAGATCCTCATGATCGCCTTCATGGTCATGTTCCTGTTCCTGTTGAAAGATCGACACGTGCCAATACGATAATGAGATCCACGTGGGGCAACGTAGCCGAGAGGACGTCACTTTTTTGTCCAAGCTTTTTCTGCTTCTTCTCCAAAATGTTGGGGATCACTTTTTTAATGGAAATTAATAAATGACGTCTCTGACTTCTTTGCTCCTCTGAACAAGCTATTCAACCTACCTAGCTCCCTGTATGTCTCACGCCATGATATGAGCGGGGGATAAGCTACTACAGGCCACGCACAACCCTCAATTCCTATACTATCTCATTTCTTATTCCTCTCTTTCTCTTCTTGGATCATACATTGTTGAGCATTGGTACTTGCTCCTTTCTTGTATGGTTATAGTCCCTGAGCGCCAGCAAAATGCTGTACTTTCTACATAGGCGTGAGTTATCAAGCTTCATCATTCGTGTAACCATTCCCTTTTGCTAATATATGCACTTTTGTAGCCTTTGTGGCCCTTGCTAGCACTGTTGGTGCTGCTCCAGATGATCGTGAGTCCTCCGTCAAAGCTCCTAAAGCTCATCGTATCTCTAACACCACGCCCAGTCAAGCTCGTCACCTCGTTCTTAATATCCTTCCCTCTCGCGGCCCTTCTTAAACGAATCCCCGATTCGCAGCCACAGCTCAAGAACCTCTTTAGCATTGGGTACGTCAAACAGCTTTTAGTCAACACAATCTTCAGTCCTGCTAACATGTCAAATCAAGTGTATCCCTCTTCTACCTTGTCGGCTTGTTTGATCTCTGGGATGGCGCTCGAACTCTACTTATTAGTGCAGGCGGCACGTACTGCATCGCCAAATACCTCCGAACGAGCCCATATATGCCATGGATAGGCTTCGCTTTCGTCATGGGCCACATGTCCATCAGCCACATCGCCCGTCAAGCAGTCAACGACCCGTCGAGCGCCGATGTTACAGGTGCCCAGATGGTTCTTCTCATGAAGCTGAGCGCGTTTTGTTGGAACGTTGCCGATGGACAACTCCCAGAGGAGCATCTGTCTGATCTCCAGAAGAGGAACATGCTTAAAGAGCTACCTCCTGTGTTGGACTATGCTGGCTGGGTGCTGTTCTTCCCTGCGCTGTTCGCTGGCCCCTCTTTCGATTTCGTCGACTATCGCAAGTGGCTTGATACGACCCTCTTCGACGCACCAAACGTCGACCCCTCGAAGAAGGCTCCTGTCAGGAAGAAGCGAAAGATTCCTCGAAGTGGTGGCCCAGCAGCTTGGAAAGCCGCCAGCGGTCTCTTCCTCATCGCCATGTTCATGGGTCTTGGTGGTTCATACTATCCTACGTTGCTCACTGTCGATACCTACATGAACTACGGTTTCCTCCGCCGTGTCTGGATCATGCACATGGTTAGTTTCACCGCACGCCTCAAGTACTACGGCGTCTGGTACCTTACCGAGGGCGCTTGTATCCTCACAGGGATGGGCTACAACGGCGTAGATCCTGCCACAGGCAAGGTCTTCTGGAATCGTTTGCAGAACATTGACCCCTGGGCCGTCGAGACAGCGCAGAACCCGCGTGGATACCTGGGAGGATGGAATATCAACACCAGCAACTGGCTGAGGAATTACGTCTATTTGCGGGTTACGCCTCGAGGCAAGAAGCCCGGCTTCCGCGCCAGTCTCATGACCTTTGGCACCAGTGCTCTGTGGCATGGATTCTACCCCGGATACTACCTCAGCTTTGTTCTTGCAAGTTTGATTCAGGACTCCGCGAAGCGTAAGTTGCTTTGGATCACCGTACTGTAACTATCCTAACATCTTTTAGACTTCCGCCGTCATGTCCGGCCCTTCTTCCTTGATCCTATTTCTGGCAACCCTTCACCTAAGAAGAAATACTATGACATTGCATCGTACCTCGTCACTCAGCTCACCTTTACTTTCGCAACAACTCCGTTCCTCGTCCTTACATTCCAAGGCTCACTACTTGCCTGGTCCCGTGTTTACTTTTATGCAGTCGTTTGGACTGTTGCCTCCCTCGTCTTCTTCTATTCCCCTCCTAGTAAAGCCTTCCTCAAAACACAACTTGAGAAGCGTCAAGGCCGCGCTAACGCCAAGCTCGCGCACTCCGTCTCAACTGATAGTTTGAATGGCAAGGATCCTATACTGGGTATTTCCAAGGACCCTGAGGGTGACGTCCATGAGGCTGTGTTGGAACTTAGAGCAGAGATGGAGATGAGGCGCAGAATGGGTATGCCCGTACCAAAAGGTGTCCCCATCCCAAAATAGCGCAATTGCTATCTTGGCATTATTAAGAAGTCTGAGTAGTCAGTGTTGGTGTTTTAGGTGTTGGGAGATAGGCTTTGTGAGCTGAGGTGCTGGCCAATCTATGGGAAATATACGGTTTACCAAGTAGGTGACTCTTTGAATTTATTAGATTTATATACAACGTATTGTGAGCTTCTTGGGATAGCCTGTTTCTCTTTCTCTGTTTAATTACAATATTTGGTATCGTGAAATGAGTGTCTATGCTGACTGTCTTTCGTCTTGTTCAAAATCGCTGTCAAATCCAACCACCTAGTTGTATATGTGTATGCTAAGGTCCATTAAAGCAGGCAGAAAAGAAAATGTCTCCCGTTTTATCGTTGTTGAGTAGATGTGAGAATAACATCAGAAAACAGCAAAGGCGAGAACTGAAGAGAAATCTTGGAATTCAAGAAATCGTGCTTCGTCAAAACATCGAGACAGAAAAAGAAAAGGTAAATCGTGTCTCGTAAAATGGTATGCCCAGAAAGAAATCGTTGGTCGTTGAAATTTAGATAAAATTGCATGAAGATCGTGAGTCTTGAAAAGGTGTTCAAATGATTCCAGCAAAAACAGAAACAAATCGTAATTCGTCGTCAATTGTTGAGATGCCGTGAAATTCCATGGGAGGTTTGGGAATCAGGACTGTTCTCGTAATCCGGGTCATCAAAACAGGATATCTTTGTAAAATGGTATCAATGCCCCCAACGTTGTTTAACGCCTACCACGCTGAGCGCGATGATGGAACCAAGAATGAGCAAGCCGATGATGGACATGCCTCGGTTGACCTTCCTCCACCAGATTGCACTCGTAAAAACGGCGTCCTCTTTGCCGTCCACCTGGAATCCGTCTGACTTAGACGTACTGTTGTTGCCCTCAACATCTCCGGCTTGAGTAGCCGCCCTAATAGGAATGAATGCAGCAAACATCCAAGCTAAAACATGTTAGAGCTTGATTTCTGTATAATGGTGTCTTGAACCTACCCAATGGGAAAATAAATCCCACCACGAACATTGTGACTTGAGCATTGCGCCGGCCAGTCAACTCACTCCTCGCTTCCCATTCCGACGCTGGAGGCTGCCAGATGCTGTGCTGGAAAGGTCGTCGATCCCGGGCTAAGTGAGGCGACCAGATACTGGAGGTTTGTTTCTTGATGTTACGCACAACAGCCAGTACGGGGTGAGCCGGCGCCGCGCTGACGTCCATTGAGCCTGCATTTGAATGTTGTCGGGGAAATGCGTCACGAGGTCGGCGTCTGGGAATGCGAATGTTGGTGGCATTGGCATCCTGGCTGGGTGATCGGCTGAGTTGAGGCTCATGAAGCTCGCTTTCGTTGAAGTCCGAGTCATACATCGACTCCATTGAAGGCTGAGCAGCCAACCACTTACGCTCACCACTGCCGTAGTAAACCCTGCGACCAGAGAGTTAGTCATGGTATTTCATTGATATGGAAGAAAGTACTTACTTGGCCCAAGCAGGAACTGCAGCGTTGAAACTGGCAGTTGATCGCAGGCTACGATCCGAGGCATAGCTTGACAAGAACCTTCCCATTCTTGTTCGTGAAGGACGATGATGAAGTACTTCCAAATCGGCGAGGCCGTCTCCATCTTCATCATGATCGCGAACCAAACGTATTGTGCCAGTCGCGGGATCACGGGCTGAGTTTCTGGCATATGTGGCGGAAGGGGGTTCTAGAGAGCTATTTCTCGAATGGGACGGAGTGCTGCCTCTTGACTGAGAAGGGCTCTCGACATGCTCTTCAAGGCCAAAGAGTGAGGAGGTCATGCTCAAGACATGCTTGCTGTGGTCACTGCCACGTCGACGGGGAACGGAAGATAGCGACAGGGTGCGAGATGCGGGCTCGCTGCCACCCTCGCTTTCTGACATGACTGTTGACAATTGGCCGCTCCATTGGTGAGTCCGCGATTGAGGTCGGCCTAGGTCTTGCCACGAAGGACCAGCGTGCTGGAGTATTGTTGGCGGCCCAACAAAGAGAGCACGAGTAGCTTCTTGAGTGAAGATGGTTGACAGTGAAGTTATCGATGCAGAGCGAGATCGGATAGTTTCACGGGATCGAGTTCTGGTGAGGGCAAAGGTATCCGAAGACCTCCTTTTACGTGGCTGTAATGGGGCAACAACCAAGCTCTCTTGAGAGAACTCAGGCTGTACACGATGCCTGACAGCAACGATAGAGGAAGAAGCGGAGTGACTGCGGTGACTACCGTGTGTGACAAAGTTGACGTTGCTGTCTTCGGTTGGTGGCCGAGTGCTGGCGTATAATGAAGCTTCTGCTGAAGAGGGATCACCAATTAACTCAATGTTGGAATGAATCGACGATGGCGGCAGGCTACGCAAGTCGGCGACGTTGACTGGTGAACTCTCTCTGTAAGTTTTGATGTTGGTTCTGTTGGATACAGTGGTTCTTGTTTGATCAGACGACGAAGAGTGGAAGGATGTCTTCTCATTAAGCCACTTAGAAGGACCTGCCTCAGAAAGAGGAAGATCAACCTCAGGCAGTGGAGGGAGGGACAATTCAGCTGTAACATCTTGGGTCTCTGGTTGTTTTTGCTTCACGTCAGGAGTTTTAGGTACCTTACGCAGGCCCCCAAACAGGCGGTAGTTCCACGGTGACGAATTGTCGGGGGTTGATGGGTCTTGAATCCGAGACGGAATAATTGGAGAACTGGGCTCTCGTTCTGCAAGAGGAGTCAAAGGTGAAGTTGGCCGGCTTTGACGATCCTCGCCTATCGTACCCACAGATTCTCGGCCGTAGGAGGTGTTGCCAGTAGTGAAAGATGGGGGAAGAGACCAGAGAGATTCGACTCTTGAAGACATTGAAACATTATGATATTGTACAGAGAAGGTTTTGTCAGGGTTAACCTTGATAACCTTTTTACGAGAGGGGGGTCTTGGTGAGGCTGAAGGTCCGCGAGAAGGTGGGCGTGAAGCAATAGAGGTATTGTCATCGTTATCATAATGGGGCGCCCAGGAGGATTGGCTGGGTTCATAATCGGATGATGGATATCGAGCCAGACCTTTGAATGATGACGGAGGTAACGCAGTCGTTTTCGCTCGTGCCCTTTGCAGGGATGGTGATGGTGTTTCAAACGGTGGACTGGAGGAATGCGATGTCTGACTCCGTTCAAGTTCCGTATCGGTCTCGGTATTCGTGTCAGCCTGGGTAATGGTCTTGGACGATGTGGCAGTGGCATCTGATGCAACCCTTGGCGGACTGTAAGGAACAAGGCGAATCCCAAGACGACTGCTCTGAGCGTTGTTCTGTGAATTACTTCGCTGGTGCAATGCCCGACGAGGCGGAGAGCCAGACGGTGAGACCGACATGCTCTACGCACAAGGCGACAATGACAACAGCTCAAGTTTCCAGGACATGAGAAATCTATGAATAATATCCAAAATTCTTGCCCTTGAAACTGGCAAGACAATTGACTTTCGAAATGGTGAATATCGTTGTAGTGTCTGTATACTTCGAACTCGGTTGGCGCCGGAGGTGGGTCAAGGAAGTCGGATATTCAGACAAAACGATTAAAGAATTAAAGGCCACAGCAGCTTAATGGCATCAATGAAGCATCAATCGTTCCAAAAAAGATCGGATCAAGCAAAGATCAGACAACTTAATTCGAAACAAGCTGGGGTTGTCGATTGAGCGTCGCGAGGTGGATCGTTCGTGTTTCGGCTGGCTGTGAGAGAAGAAAAAAAGACTCGATCGAGAGGATAGAGCAATTGAATCGATTACCAAAAATGGAAGACAGATCCAGAAGAGAAAAAAAGACGAAGAAGCAACAATTAGTTTAATTAATTAGTTCGGTACCGTTTCCAAGGAGTGTGTTGAATATCAAAGTGCTGAATGAGTGACTGGCCAGCGGCCGATTAGAGCGAGTGTATGTAGGTTGGTTGGGAAAGGACGAAACGTGAGAGAGAAAGACAAAAGTCAGGATCATGGGGAAGGAAGCGACGGGCGGGTAGGTAAGGTAACTAAAAAGAGCAACAGCGGTCCTCCCCCATGCGACCAAGGGCGGCAGGCCCAGCGACCTGTACCTGCTTTGGGTAAGCTATGGATGAACAGTATTATGTGGGTATCTCGAAACCAGCTTCTTGCTTGCTTGCGTGCAAGGTCACGGCTTTACGATAATATTCACTAAGTCTCCTAGGCCCGGACCAGACGAAAAGACGAGGGTATGGAACGATCCGAGCTCTCCGAGTTAGACCTCCTAGCCTCCCCCTTACAGAATCTATCCCGTCGGGCAGGCTTGGACGAGACAATATTAGGGACGGGAAAAGACACGACACGACACGACACGATACTGGATCGAACTGAACTGAGCTGAACTGAACTGCTGGTGTGGTTTAATTGGACCAGTGACGTGGATTGCGCAAACAGACGTGAACCAGTGGTCGGAAGCGCCATTGTAACAAGTCTGCAACTAGCGGCCTTGGGATATTACCATGCTGCAACAGGGGCTTCCCCTGCAGGCTTCGGCGCGCGCAAGATGGGACCGTTGGAGAGACAGGGGGCCTGGCTTGGTAGAGGAGAACGAGACGAGCTAGGTGGGTGACCTGAGGGAGATAAGGGGAGCTCTGACGGACAGGATAAGACACCGCGATTCTTATGAACCAACATTGGTTGCAATCAAGGCTTTGGGAGTTTCCCAGTGCTCAATCGATTGCAACCAAAGAAAGCGAATCAATATGTCGAGTTCAGGAGAAGAAATCTTAAGATCTCCTTATACAACTCGCGGCAAGCTCTGATTTGTCCCTCAGCACACCACCAACTTTTAAGAACTAAGGTTGGGGTTGCGTTATTGCGGATCAGATCTGTCTGAACCGGCTGAGCTACCGGCGCTAGGGGGACAAGGTCGTTTTCCAGTGTGGCTGTGTACTGTCCAATGGCCCTGTCTATGCAGCTGTGAGTTGCCAATTCCTTCGATCTTGTCTACGATAAATACAAGAATGGAATGGATACCTAGAGCAAAAGACAAGGCCCGGAGAAATTACTGGGACCACATGTGCCAAGTGGCAGATCATCAATGGATGCTTATTCCTAAAGATATCCAGGAAGCTGCAGGACACGCACAGGTTTCACTGTTTCATCAATCATACATCCAGGCGACAAATTCTGGAATAATTGATCGTTCGGTCTGGAAAACGGCAGTTGTCCACGTACTGTCCAGCTGGCCTCCATGGTCGCCTATATGGCCGTCTATGATGCTTTCTCTTCCTGGCGCTTGTTTTACCTAAAGTACTTGAATTGCTGTGAGCTGGCAAAGTACACATCTGGCTTACCAAAACTGGCGTTCATACATGTACACAAGAGTCAGGATCCGGCGCCTGTTCATCCACTTGTCGTAACAGCGCTTCTCAAAACCAAGACCTGCAGAAGAGTCAAGACATGCAAATTCTCTCCACTTGGCTGCCTTCAGAGCTGTCAGATGCGTTCACTGACTCCGGCTCAGGGGCACTGACAGCCATTCCTCAATGGTGTATGGCAATGAAACCAGACAAAAGGGTCTTTAAGCGTTGAAGGCGTTGATGTGGCTTTGCCGCGCGCAATCTAACGACTCCCGTGCAACGTGTTGAGCTAGCCTTGTCTCGGTCTGAAGCGTGCTGTTCTTGTTGTGAGCGTTTGTCTTATGGGTAATAGGTCTTGGAAAGGAGATAGGTAGTCATTACTGGTTCCTGAGGCTTTAACTGACATCTTGAACATGTCAGCTTCAACATCTACAGTTTACTTTAACTAAAAAGGAACACCTTCGCCTTGCTGCCTACTTGGTAGCCCACACGATTCTTTAATATATTCTCTCCCATTACAGCCATTATTCTTCTCCTTTTTACAGCCGTTATGCCATCCAACGACTCACATTGCAGTAGTCAAAACCGGTACGGGTAGATCGCCCGTCCGCTCTTAGGGGTCCAACCCAACCCATCTATCACCGCCTCTCTCCTCAGCACTAACAAAGTCCCGCTGCACCTAACTAATGCAGGTACCGTTGTTCACTTGGGGTCACCTCACTTCTTGATTCATGGCCTTGTCCTAGCCAAAGTGGCATTGCGGCTGAGCAAGCCCGGCATGTTATAAGTGAGTGGTGTTGGGTATTGGAGTCTACCAATCCAAGAATTGGATATCGTCTAGTCGTGCACGAGTGTCGATGAGTATTTTATTCTTTTTCACAAAACTATTCCCTCCACTGATTGGACTAATGTCACTGCTGCATTCGTGTTTGGGTCGTGTTTTATACCCTCCCCACATCATTTCGCTTCTCTCAATAACTCTTGTGCCATGCAGCTCACCGCATATAATAGTGTATGCAACTCCATGAAGCGATATGCAAGGTAAAATGAAGACGAGCGAAACCGTGCCACCCCTAGTTAGCTTCCTCAGAGGCCTGCACAATTTTTCTTCGTTGGTCCCTAACATTTTTAGTACGCCAGTCAAAGCAAAGTTGGCTATTCCTTGGTTGGATTGATTGGATAAGTAAGCAAAGTTCGATAAGACACGAATAGGTAGTGAACAATGGTTTTTAGAACAATAGAGATAGACTCTTTCGTGGCTGGCGATGGCCTCTGCTTTTTCCAGAATTGATTCATGTTGGCCTGTGTTGGCTTTGAATCTATTCCATTCTCTTTGATAAAGGACTCGTGATGCTGACTTGACTTGACTTTGCCCCATTCAACATTCCCGCAGTTGTCCTTTTCACCCCTCAACCTCTCTACTTAACTTCTTCCATCTCCCCATCGACAACACCCCGAAACTATTACAACTTCAAAAGCCTGGCACGTTACAATGTTCAACCCTGGTTCAACGGGGTTTTCGCCTCCTCAAGCAGTAGCCTTGCTGGTGAGCCCAACCGTCTCTCATGAGACTCTACATACTAACTCATTCTCAAGGTTGTCTACTGCCTCATCTATGTAATCCCTCTCTACTTTTCAGCAGCAACCAGGCCTTCGCCTACACGGTCTAGGGATGCTCCCGAGGCTATTCGCGCACGCATCTTTGCCGTGTCGCTCTCAACGGCTCTTTGCTCTCTCATAACGCTGTATCTGCTCTCATCCCATGGCGCTATAGCTGTTCACGAGCCATTGCATTTTATGGGCTACTGGCCTCCCGGGCTCATCGATACTGCTCGTGCTCTGTGGCTCACAGCTTTGCTTTTCGCTGGCCCTCTGTACGAGTCTCTCGTCATCGACGGGACTGCTCGCCAATGGCTTCGCCTCGAACCTCTGAGAGATCTCTGGACTGACTGGCCCACCTGGAGAAACATGGTAGCGGTACGTGCACTTTGAAACAATTTGATCTCGCTATAAAGATTCCTTTCATGTTTTCCCCTGTCAATCCCCTCGTCTATTGATCTCCACAGAGCCTCCTTCTCACACCGCTTGTCAAATCCATGTAATACTAATGATTTCATCAGGGACCCATCACCGAAGAATGTCTTTTCCGTTCCGCAGGTGTTCCCTTGCTTTTGCGTTCTGGAGCTAGTCTCACTGGCACTATTTTCATGTCGCCGCTCATCTTTGGTCTGGCTCATCTTCATCACTTTTACGAGTTCCGCATCACGCACCCTCGAACTCCTCTGCCTGTCGCCATTGCACGGTCTCTTCTCCAGCTCTCGTATACTTCGCTATTTGGAGCATACGCCACCTTTTTGTTCCTACGAACTGGCAGCTTGCTGGCCGTCGTGCTCGTGCACACTTTCTGTAATTGCATGGGCCTCCCACGCCTTTGGGGCCAGCTTGACCCGTACTGGCTACCAGAAGGTGACCCTGCGGCCGTCTCGTCTAGGAAGATCTGGACTGCGATTTATTACGTACTCCTTGTAGGTGGTTTGATTGCTTGGTGGCAGAACTTGTACTCGTTAACCGAGACACCCATGGCTTTGGCCAAGTTCTAATATTGTTTGTTTGTTTGGTTAATTCATGTATTATATCGTACGTGGAGAATTTATGATATATCGCATGAAAAAATGAAACATGGTTTCTCACAGACCACGCTTTGGTCCCGTCCTACAAACTGGCTAATTGCTTCGGAGATCAGGGTGGCTCAACCTCACGTCTGTGCGTGGATGGGGCTTCGAAAATCCCATGTAGACCAAACATTGACGTGACTGAGATCTTCCGTTCCATCAAGCGAGGATTTCTAGGCATTCGTCTAAGAAAGTCAATGAGTAGAGCTTTTTTTTTTTTTTTCTCCCTAATGGCAGTTATGGAGTCGGAATCTGGAAGCTGGGCAGAGAGCCAGGCATCGAGAAGTCATCACTATCACTACCTCTCGTTCCTCGTCGCTGCCGAATAGTTCCTCGATCCCTAATTTCTGCGTCGCCGCGTGC